TCTTATTTATGATGCATAATTAATGCTTACTAGGAATTATACGGTGACAAAAAATATTAAAACATTTTTAATCATATATTATCTCATGTCAAATAGTATATTTTTTCATATTGAAAGAAAATATTAAATGAAAACTCATACAATATTAAACAATAAAAATTGTGCATGTTTTTTTTTTCATTCTATTATTAGCTGACTTTAAAATTTAATGTAGGAAGAGGATTTTTTTTCTTTTTTAAAGAAAAATATTTAAAAGTAGACTGGAATCAATTTCAGTCTATGAAGTCAGAAATAAAATCTTTTTTCTGACTTTTTTTTTAATTCGTTAAATCATGTAACATTTTTTTCTTTTTTATTCTGCCAACTTAAGTCTGTTCTTTAAGAAATGTGAACAACTTTTAGAGGAAGGTACATTCTTAAATATGTAATTTTTTTTACTATTGAGTAAAAGTAAAATATTAAATTTTTAGTTTAAAAATTGCCTTAGAAAAAGTTTTCTGTATATATTAAAATGGGCTATATTATCCTTTAGAATAGGTTGCAGACTAGGGCTCAAAGCTGGATCATCCTTTATAGGCTGCAGCCTACAGCCCATCTAGCTTGCATAAAACAATGATTTTAATTTTCTAAATGTTATAACTGCTAAATAGTTTCATAAACTGAAATGATATTAATATGAAAAACTTATATTTGACTTTGCAAGACAAAGCAAAGAAAAGAATGTTTTAGTTTGTATCACTGGGTTTAAAGTAGATAACGTTTGATTTTAGTTCAGAAGTTGTTTTTTTTAATTTAAGATGTCATAACTTATAATTTCATAAACTGAAATGATATCAATATGACAAACCCATATTTTATTATGCTGATTATAAATTTTTTTTTTTTTTTTACTACAGTGGTGTTGAAATATGTTGCAATAAGTAGTAAATTAGTATTTCTTGAATATTTTTTTTGACAAACAAAAAATAGCTATTTGAGTTTATTTAAAGAATTTGCAACAAGTTTACTTCCAGTGATGTAAATGTTGCTCAAGGAATTTGCTAAAAATATTCTAGACATGTGGCTGAGTTAGAGAAGGGGGAGCACAATTTCTTTAGTCTAGGAGCTCCAAAACATCATAATCCAGTCCTGTATGTTAATTGTGACAAATTTTAAAAAATCCAAAATAGAGAAAAGTTTTTTTTTAGAATGGCTCACAAATATTTTAACGATACTAGTCTCTCAATTTCCAATATTTAACATTAAAAATGGTTTCTGTTTGGATTTTTGGAAGAAGAGTTATTATTTATATGTGGACTATTATTTTTGTTGTTATTGTGAGTTCAATCCCTGGGCCTGGCAGTGTGTACTTGAACTCTGGAAATGGAGTGAGTAATACTAAAATAAGAACTAGGTGAGATATCCCTAGATATGGGCAGTGGAATGAGAACAATCCCTCCCCCATGGATTAAATAAAGGGTTCAGTTTGAAATTCCCTGAAAGTTACCTGGATTGGTAAGCACCTGATGAAGGCCAGAGGGCACAATGTCCAAAATGTGATCAAAACAACAAAGATGAGGACAATAGTCCACATGTAAATAATGGATAAATATGTGTAATTAAAGTTTTGAAAGTACACAAAAAATCCCAATTACAATAAATAGAAAGTTGTTACTTTCTATTCTATTAAACATTAAAATGAAAGCAAAAAGAATTGGAATTTTTATTAGAAAATACTAGTGATAAAAACTGTCTTCAAATTTGTTGACAGAAATAAACAATTTTCTATGAAACAGAGTCTAGTTATCCATATATTTAAAAAATGGTTTTAATTTATATTTAGATATAAAATAGACTGAAGTTTTATCTGAATTTCTACAATGAGGAATTTGCTTTTGGGCTAATATCCTCATCTTTGCTGTTACTATCACAACCATCCAATAAGAGATGAGGCAAGAAGAACATTAAGTTTAAGGCTCCAAATTCTAGCATTGGTTAGTGAATTTAGTGGCATAATAATTGTGAGTTCAATCCCTGGTCTGGTTAGTATGGATATAATCAGATCCAGTGGAAAGAGGACTAGTGATAATTGAACAATTAACCAAAGACTAGTTATCTCCCCTAGAAACGGTCTGTGGAATGAAAAGAATCTACTCACTGTAGATTAAGTAACGGGTTCAGTTTGAAATTCCCTGAAGGTTACTCAGATCGACAAGCCCCTGAAGAAGGCTAGAGGGCACAGTGGCTGAAACACGATTGTAACAACAAAGATGAGGACATTAGTCTATAAATAACATTAAAATTTCTTTATCACTAATTGCTATTGCAGTAATAGGGTGAATGATGTTTATTTCACTCACTGCATTTAAACTTATCTTTTTATATTGGAACATATTTTGGCTTTCAGATAAAACTATTTCAAAGAGAATATATGACATGCAGTAAGAAAATATTGAGAGAAAAAAAACCTTGATTTGAGGACCAAGTCAAATATTGTGCCGTTTTAGACTGAATTCAAAGACGGAGGTTTATGAAAAACTATGAAATTACAAGTCATTTTGTTAAGTTGATTTAAAAACTTATTTGAAAAGTGACTATTACTGTTCAATATAAAATTGCATAGAAAGATATTTGTGGATAAAAAGTTTGGTGGAGATTAAAGATATTTTTCAAAGGCACCAGAAATGTTTTCATTACGAGTAAAACTTGTCTCAGCATTCTTAGTATTCCACGTAAAAAAACTGTATTTTGTTGAGTTTTACGAGGCTAAGCAGAATTATTTTTTTAAAAAAGTCAAGATTATTGGAGATTTAATGGGGAATTTCACATAAAAGTGAATCTATGCTTTTGCTAACTGAAGAAAAGAAAGTGCATTACAAACAATTGTTGGAGAAATTTATTTTTATATCTAAATGCATTTGAAATTGAAATTACTACCTTCACCGCTTAGATACACTGGCAAATACTTGCGTAGTAGAAATTGATCAACTATGACTAGAGCTATAAATATTTTTATTCATCTCATTTATTAAAAGAGAAAAAACGAAACATTCAGCAAACATGGACCTTCATGCCCGTAATAAATTTTTACCATGACGCTGTTTTTTTAATTACCTTCACTATTTGACAATGATTATTGTTTTAAAAAGTGATGATTAGAATTGGAATAAAACCTAAACCTGTGATGAAAGCAAATTTATACATTTTCTTTGTTCTTGAGAATTGGCAACAAAAATAATAAACACTATTTATTTATTAGATTTATTTACTATTTATTATATTATTTATTGGAATGGCTGGCAAGACATTGGCTAATTGCCAATCAATTCAAACTTTATAAAATGATAAATAAGGATTTCCTTATAGTTGGTTCACATTTTTATAATTTAGTAAATGTTTATAAATTTATGAATAAAAAATTCTTTCATATTTATTTCTTTATAAATTGGTAAAATGTTAAATATTGCATTGCATTAGTTCTAATTGTATTAGTTTTTAGAATGTAAGTATAAAATTCTTGGAAATAAATAATCTAATAATTAGTGTTTAATATTTTTCTTGTAAATTCTCATGAACAAAAAAAAAATGTATAAACTCACTTTCATGTTTAGGTTTTATTCCAATTGTAATCATTGCTTTTTTAAAACAATAAACATTGCCAACGAGTAAAAGGTAGTTAAAATAAAAGTGGTGTCATGGGAAAAATTTTCTGTTAGACTTGCGGACTTATTGCAGGCACAATGATCTATGTTTACCAAACATTCAATCTCTGCTCTAGAGTGCAGACATTTTTGTTTAAAGCTATCCCATAATTCCACTGTAAAAAAGGTTGTAAATAGTCACTATATTGAGCTTTAGTCTGAATTATTGGGTTTTTAAAGTGGATATAAAAACAGCTCAACCTAAAATATCAAACTTTGGTGTTAAAAGGGTTTAAATTTGAAAAGAAAGAAAAGAAGAAAAAAACTTTATTGAAAATGACTGAAAATTTTTCTATATCAATCTTGATATGATTTATTCTGATTTTATTTAATCTCATCAGTCCTTAAGAGATTTCATTTGTTAAATCCCTAGAGTCCTGACTGTGTTGAAAAATCTGAATATGTTAATGCAATTAAATTTATATACGTCAATGATCATTGAAAAGTAAGTATTATAAGTTGATTTTTATATGAGTAAACTGATTTCTCTTTCAGATGAGACCAAATTTAGCCTCATTGCAATTATTGTTTATGAGCTAATGTTTTTGGAAATCTACAACTTTTACAAAGTTGTAGATTTCCAGCACTTCTAGTTGATCATGTGATGAGTGTCAATGTTGTGTGTTGATATTCAATACTGGCACATTCAGCTGCTCCAGTACCATAAGTATGTAATATCTGCAGGTACATTTAGACTGTTAGCCAACTCTTATCAGCCAGTAAATCCTTATCACAGTGAGAGCAGTTGATGACTAAATAGAATCGTAAAAGAATGTTTATGGTACAAGTGTTTTTTCTTTCTTTTACTTGATAGCAATTAATATATGGATCTTTTTTTCTTTTTTTTTTTTAAATTTTAATTTGTAAAAAGGGAATAGAACAGAATTATCCAGATCTTTAACAATAAGAGAAATTAAAAATCTCTTCATTTTCTAACTGAATGGTCACAACAATAAGAAATAATATCTAAAAAGAATTACAATATAATAGGAGGAGATATTTTTCCTATCGTCTGGTTCCTGGTCTTTTAAACAGGTGTAGAGGTTTATCCTCTGTTTTCTGTTTAGGATTGGGTTTCCGCATTCACTCTCAGTAGCCCTTTGTGTCTTAGTGGCATTATCACCTTGCTTGGGATGAATTGATTTAAAGAAAAATGTCTTTATTGAAGAAACACTTTACTAAACTATATCTACATTAGTGATTGTTTAAATTTTTTTTTTTTAATACAAGGGATCATTTGATCGATTTTCTTTTTTTTATGACTTATCAACCCTTTGTGGGTTATTTAAAGCCAAAACATATTTCAGATTATAGGAGGTCACATACAGTACCTGGTGGTCCCCCATCTAAGTACTGTCTGGGCTTGAGACTGCTTAACTTTGGTGATTGAATGAGAACTGGTGTTTTCAACACAATTTGACTGTAAGTGTCTTACAAAGAAAACGTTCTCTTACATATCAAAATTCCATTTGACTGACATTAGATGTTTGGGTTTTTTTTTTTTTATTAATTATTGAAATATCAGCATTTTTATAACTTATGCATAATTTCTTTTTTAGTTTTGTTGTCAAATTGGTAATACATCATTTACTTGTTTGTAACTCATATAATATTTGTATCTTTTAGTTTAACATCCCAAATTATCACAGTTGGTCGGTTAAAATGTAATATAAACTTCAGCAGATATGAAGTCTAATGAAAGTGTAAAGAATTCAAAAGGTTTAAAAAAAAAAAGTAAACATTTTGTCATATATGTTAGCTCAAGATAAATTTATTTTATCTGATAGACAGGAAACCATTTTTTATTTTATATATGTATATGTATTTTTTATATTTGGGGAGGGGGTAAATTGTATAAATAGGGTTAGAAGTAAAAAATGTGGATATAAAAAGAGAAAGAAAAACAAATTTTTTTTTTTCTTTTTTAAATCAGATTTGTTAACTGACCAATTCACCCCAGACTCGGAGCAACTGTGATAATTTTGGAAAACAAAATGTTTTCTTTCAGAATTAGAATATTCAGATATCAAAGGTTCTAAACAGTTAGAATTTATAAATGAACTGTAATTTTGTCTATATTTGAATATGTATAGGGTACAGAATCTATTTGCTTGAACTAATATTTGTATAAGGGTGAGGGGGGGTGACTGCTGTGCAAAGAAAAAAAGATATTTGCATTGAGGCCTCTGCAATTAGGACCACCTTTTCTTCCCTGTTATTTTTTTTTTGTTTTATATATATATATATATATAAAAATTTCAGAATCATGACTAAGTTTTAAACAAGGTGGGTGTAGGGAATATCTCTTTGCCATTTTTTATTGTGCAGTTCCCAGAGCATTAAAAACACTAAACAACTCTTAGGAAATAATATAACAATATGAATGAGTTTGTTGCAAGGCTTTCTAAAATATTAAAAACATTACAGATTATTAACATAATATGTACAATTATTTCACAACTTGATTTTTTTTTTTTTTTACTCCAACATTTATTGCAAAAAAAGAAATAAATTAATCATTAGTGAGATTTCAACTCACAACCAGCACATTTCAAGAAGAAGGTACGATGTCTATTCTTTACGAAAGCTGTCCAACTGTTACATTAAAAGTTTTACTCAAGCTGACTTTTCAGGCAGAAAGAGCAAGCAACCTCAATGGAAGACAGAACTTTGTTAATTTTAGAGAAACCAATTTGGAATTGTAAACTTATTTGGTAAAAGAGAAAAAAAAAAAATAACTTCCAAAGAAAGTAGAAGTTAACCCACCAAAACCTGGTATTTGCATTTTTATGGCAGTTGCTGATAAACAGTTTTTAATTTGACTAAAAGGAGAAAAATCATAGCATTAATTTTTTTTCCTCTAATTAGGGAAAAAAAATCAAACTTGAGTAGATATTCAAAAGGTTAGACTAACCAATGTTTGAATCTAATGATTAATTGGTATTTTAAATCACTGGCTGCTTGTTTCTGAGTACCCTCATCTGCTAGGGTGGATAACTAATCCCTGTTGCAAACGCCTGAAATATTTGCATTAAAAAAAAAAAAAAATGAATTAGGTAAATTTGTTTTTTTTTTTTTTTCAATACTCACAGATCCAAACTGTAGTTTATCCTGCAACTATGCTGAGTAAACCTTAGTTACAGTTTCTGGAGGAGAGAGTGCATAATCTGGTGTGATCAAGTTTTGAACAAAGCCAGTATGCTCAGTCACAATGACTTGAGAATTTGTAATTGATATTATATAAAGAAAGAAAATGGTTATTGTAGAAACTTGAAAAATTAATTTGTTCAAATCAGCTGGACTCATTAATTAGTTGCATCATTTGCAAAAAGAAGATTTTGCACTGAAAGAAAAGGCTTTTCAAGGTGAATTTTGTCTGATGTCAAAACTCAGATTATGGGCAAGTGAATAATCTAGCTCTTGATAGTTATTGAACTACTGCATTAAAAAATGAATCAGTTATCATTAATACATCACAGGATTTTATATAAAAAAAAAAGAAAGAAATCAAAACAGTTTTACAAATAAAGCTGCACTTTCAGCCAAATTGACTAGAAAAATTTAGTATTCAAGGTAACATTTTTCATTTATAAATAAACGATTTTCATTAATTAAAAATAATGAATGTCTCAAATTGAAATAAAAAGATATAAAGCATCATAAAGGAAAAATTTGTTTTTTTTTCATGAAAAGGCGATTCTCAAACTGGAAGAACAAGAAAATGGCCTAATAAAATTAACTTTTTTTTTTCTTCAAACTGATTTGTTCAAATTTTGACCATTAAACTTTGAACCAAGAATTTAATCTAACAAATGTTCGCTCATTCAACAAAAAAGCAAAGAAAAGTAAAATTCATACATGCAACCAATGAAAATTGGATTCTTTGCTTCTAGGATTTTGAAAGTATATAAAAGTAGAGGGATGGAAAAGCATAATTCAAAATTTGCCTAAGCCAGAAAATTTAACAGAATTTAATGAAAAACTGGTTATTTTGAATACTGACTCCTAGAATATGTCCACTGTTTTCCATGAAGCCATTTTTTGTTTTTAAAATGATAGAAGTGTAACAATATTCTGCATCTTATTGATCTGCTTTGTTTTGCCTGATTTGACAGACATCATCGTATTTTCCAGCGGTTTTGTAAATGGAAAGCAGTCAATTTTAGTAAATTCACAGACTGACTTTTCAAATTGAAACAAATAAGAAAAATCAAAGAAAAAGATGATCTTGAAACCAAAATCAAATGAGAAAAAGATGTTGAAAAATTAAATAAGAATTTATACTTTTTACAAAAGAAATTTACAGCAAAAATTTGAGAAAATTCTTTAGTCGATGAATTGGATTAAAAAATATAAAAAAATAAGAATTCTTGTGAACCTAATTAATGTTTTAGTTGTTATTCTCACCAGTTGTCTAATCACACAAGAATGTGGTTCTTCACTGAACCGAGCTCTATCATTGGTGCCAAACGGCTCAGTGAAAAGAAACAATAAAACTGAAGCAATAGAACAGAAGAAAAAAAAAAAAATAGTTGATGAAAACCCAAATGAAATTGTGTCTGATTGTTGAAAAGTGAAACAGCCAATAAAGCACTGATAATGTTAATTTAGTTTCATTGATAAATTCAGCTGCAAGCTGTGAATGACGAGATTCCACAAGGAAACTTTGGCTGCTGTGTCATTATGGGATTTGGTCAAGGCTCTCTATTTGATGAAACTGATGAAGAAATTTGGTAACTTGTTTGTCCATCTCTCATGAAATCACAGGCGAACCAGATAAAGGGCGTGGAGTGCTGCTGCCGCTGACACTGGGGTGAGCTGCTAAGTCCCCCCGGCTGCCACCTCCACTGCCAGCAACTCCACAGTTGGCATGAGATAATTCTGGTGGCAGGTCAAATGAATATAAAACATTGACAGCATCTCCACTCACATTTATAAGACATTGGCACTGAAATGTAAAATAAAAAAAACATCAGGAGACATTGTTAATTTGGTTCTTTACTTAAATATTGTATCTTTTTCAAATGTCCAGTGTGACCATATAACAGTGAAAAATACGAAATTGCTATTTGATAGAAATAAATGACAATAAAGATGCTGAGAGTGATTTCTTATGGGCACTGTCATTTTGGTTTTGATCAGACACTCTGCAGTAGATAAGGGTACCTGACATATACATGTAATATAATACATCACAAAAACAGGTCTTATTGTTATATGCTACTGTATATGGCTACACTACTTTGGAAATATCACTAAGCGCTAGTCAGTTTCTGACACAAACACTAGGGACTGACATTATTGGTTCAGAGATTGGAATGAGAAATGAGTGAGTCAAATTACACTCACTTTCACTTGTGGTTAATGCTTAGCTCTTCACACTTTCTTTTACTTTCTGTAGGAATTCCTGTATTTTCTTTTCTGTGTCTGCTCTCAACACTGTGTCATCTGTATGTCTAATGTTAAGATTGTGGCCACCAATAATGAATTCTGGTAGGAATTCTAATTCTCTCAGAATCATTGTAAATAGTTTAACAATTCTGGTGAGAAGACACATAAAAAATAAACAAAACAAGAAGATGTCCATTGAATTTATTTCCAATGACAATGATGAAATGTAAGTTCATATTTGCATTGTTACTTGGCTGTGCTTCCCCATTTTGGGGAAAAAATTACAAATTGCTATTTACTGAAAATAAACGACTGTAAAAATGCTGATAGTGATTTCTTGTGAGCACCACCATTTTGGTTTTGATCAGACATTCTGCAGTAGAGACTAAGCTAAACCCCTCCATACACAACATAATAAAAATACATCACAAAAAAGAAAGGTCTTACTGTTGTATGCTACTGTATAGGTCTATGCTAATTTTGAAATAACACTAGGTGCTAGTTAGTTTGATATGCAGGCAGAATAATGGTTATGAGTTTGGAATGAGAACTGAGTGAGTCAAGTTACACTCACTTTCACAAAAATACCCCTTTTGAATGACATAAATTCATCTCTTCTCAGCCACCTCCCCACAGAATATCTTGCAAACTGGGCTCTCTAGCCATTGTTGCTAACCAGTCTAGAAGAAGGACAAATCTGAAACCCAGCCACCTGAAGATGTACAAAAATGGTTAGACATGGGCTGCAGATATATCTGTAAAACAAAATGATGATAAATTTCAACAAGTATGGATGATCCCATTGGAGAGAGATTATCCAGAATTTTGTTGACACCAGCAGTGGGCCTATAGAAGGCTGGATGAATGGGCTGGTTATTTTATAACATAAATGCTAGGAACTGACCTTCCAGCTTCTTAAAAATATATAAATATACATCAGCAGAAAGCAATCTAAGTTTCATAAATATGTATGTCTACAGCAGCAGAAGTGTTCAAAATTAAAGCAGGTTAGAAAATAAGACAGTAAGTACGATTTATTGGAAGAGAAGGTAAGGTCTATAAATAATTATGTTAGTCAATCACAAACAAAGGAGGAGGAAGTTATGAAAAGAACTCCTCTCTAAAAGTGGCTTGTGTCCATTTGCAAGATATAAATAGGTGACACTCAGAAATAAAGGAATTTATATAAGAGAAATATACACTTTAGAAAGTACAATACATGACTTTTTTTTTTGCAAACATGTCGGCAATAAGATAAAGGGCAGTTTTTCCCATGAAACTGCTTTTTTTAACAAACCTCTTGGCAATAATTAGAATTGGAATAAAATCTAAACACATGAAATTGAATTTATACATTTTCTTTGTTCTTAAGAATTTACAAGAAAAATAATAAACAATATTTATTCATTTATTAGATTATTATTTATCATCCACCTGTTTTAAAAGACAATGATTATAAAACAAATGCTAATTGCAGAAACTTAAAGCCAAAAGAAAAGAGACACTAAGAAATAAAGTGTACCTGGTTTTTATGTGGATTATTGAGAAGAATACACTCATTCATTTTATAGGCAACCATGGCATTGCCACCCAATGCTCCAACATGGGCCCGCACAATGGCTTTTACTTCTGATACAAAACTCTGCATAAAGCCACATGGACCACCCATCTACAAAACAACAAAAGATGCCAATAAAGAAATGTTAGAAAAACATTAAGATCATTAAAACTATTCAAGTCTTAAGTAATATGGTTATTTTAAAAGAGATACAGAATTTATTAGTAGATATAGAGAAATATATAATAGGTATTACAGACATGTTATATATATATATATATATATATATGATGAAACGGATTAACTCTGACAAAAATTTAAAATTAATATTTTGTTTATGTGTTATTTTAATAGATACAATTTATTTAAGTAAATGCTGTCTTAATTAAACTGTGTACTGGCAAAAATAAGTTTAAGATTGATGATTAAAATTTGATTCATTTCAGAATATCTTTCTAATAAAACAATATAAATTAGTTTTATTGCGTATGCTTTATGCAGAAATTTATTTCTCCTTTGAATGATGTAAAAATTGTATATTTTTCTACAACTTGAAAAATTTTAATGCTGGATTAATTTAAATTATCCACATTTGCTGGCAAAATAAGTTTAAGACTAATTGGGTATTAGTATAGTTATAGCAAATATGAACCAAAAAAATATTTAGCAATATTTACAGCCATAACCTTTATTATTAATTGCAGCTTCACATCGCCTAGGAGTTGAGCTTCATAAGTGAACACAAAAATCATTTGGAATGCTCTGCTATATTTCTTAATATAATCGTATAATTCGGCTAAATTTGTCATTTTTTAGTCTGAACTCTTAGAAATAAAATTCCATAAATTTTCAATTGGATCAAAATTGGAACTCTGTGGAGGCCACTCAATAACATCCATATTATGGTCATCAAAAAATTGCGTTACTTTTTTGGCTTTGTGAATGGGGCTATTATCTTATTGATAATTAGCGCTAGGTGGTATTTGGTCAGTCGAATATGGCACAACATGTTCCTTAACTAGCTGCATATAGCCTACACTCTTTGTTTTCCATCAACTTTAACAATTGGACCAATTCCAAAGCTACTGAATGCACCCGCACCATTACACCACCGCATCCCACTTGTGCTGTCTTTCTAACACATTTAGGATGGAATTCCTCAGTTGGGCGGCGTCTGACAAAGGTTTTACCATCTGATCCAAAGATGCAAAAGCGTGACTCGTCACTCCAAAAAACTCTCCACCAGTTGTCGGTCGTCCATTGAATTTGACCCTTCGTGAAATTCAGTCGTTTGAATCAATTCTCTCTGAAATAATTGGCTTTTTTCAGCATTAAGTTAGCTCGGGAAAAGCCTAAGAATTCATCTATCCAGTTGCACTGTTGTTTTTCTTGGGGCTCCCAATCTTTGCCTATCCTTATATTATCCAGTATCCTGGTAAAGCTTCCAAACCTGAAAACAAGCTGCTTTGCTGCACTTTAATTGCTTGCTGTGGTTCATAAAGGAAATGTTTCATTGATGAAGTAACACTATTTTTGATCTAGTCACTGGGCTAAGACTACGATGCTTTCCCAAAGCAAATTAATTGCATAAAAATGCTCAGTTATTACACTAAATAATGCATTAATAACCAGCAAATTTAGCAAATACTTTTTGCATAATATGAATGCGGTCTTAAACTTATTTTGCTGACAAATTTGAATAATTTAAATTAATCCAGCATACGTATGTGTATGTGCCTACATATATATTACATTACACTAAATAGTCTTATTATACATATATGAATAAAGACAAAAGGAAAACTTATCTTAGCTGTCATGGTTTGTGTTCTGTTGGGTTTTACTAAGGTAAATGTAAGGATTTTATTTTGCAACAAGTATTTATGAAGCAAATAAAAATGTCAGCTTTTCAAAATTTTTAAATTTAAAAAACACTCATAAATATTAATCAGGTTAACTGAAAAGTCTAAGTAAATTATTGAGGATGCTAAGTGATGTAATTTAATGTCTAATGAATAAAAATGAGTAAATGATATTGTTGAATTATTTTGTTGCAAAATAAAATCTTTACATATGCCTCGATAAAATCTGTCAGGATAAAACATGTTGACTAAGATAAGTTTTCTTTTTGTATTTATTTGTATTGTACTTTTACAGATATATTTTTAATCATATCTGAAATTATATATATATATTATAATAAACATAAATATTATCTCTCACCAATAGCATGATTCAGAGTTTCATGCACAATGCAACATTCAGGTGCTGAGTATAGACTGACCGTTGTGTAATTTAAATTTAAAAAAATTATCTGTTGGTGCAGTTATATATTATACTGGGATTACAGTTTTTTATATTTGGCATTTAAAATAAATGGGATTTGTGTGAGTGTGTGTGTATAAAGTAAAAAAAAATAATTTTAGGGTTGTGAATATTAATTTTTTTTTTTTTTTTTATATTAACCATAAAGGGAGATTACTTGTTTTTTTTGTTTGTTTTTTTAAAAAAAGCAAACCAACCCTAATTTGCATTAAAAATTAATCTGGATCAACATACTTAAGCAGATATTTATTTTTATGCTTACATGTAACCATCAATTCATTTCTCTTGTTTTATTTTCATACAAATCAACTCATAGGGACTGAGGACTGTCCAGTTTGTCTAGATTATTCAACTAAACATGCTAGAATGAAGATATGCTGCCTATATATATATATATATATATATATATATATATATATATATATATATAAAAAATGCGTCTAGAGATTATATGCAAGTTATTAATTGGTATAAAGAGTTGCGTCTTTAATGTTAAAAGTCCTATTATGATGTTGTTTAGATTCTACTCAATATTATTAACTTAGATATATAGTGATAGAGAAAACTATTGTTTTTGGTTGGAAAACATTTTACTAAGTTAAAAAAACAGACTAATTTGACTGTCAGTAGTTTATTTGCAACTATTTATTTTGATACTTTTACATTATTATACCTTGTAAAACTAATGTAAAAAAATAATATGAAAAGATTTTAGAACAAATTTGTCAATTTCTTAAAGGAAAAACATAAAAAAAAAACATTTTATTTTAAAAATAAAAGATATATTAACAAAAAATAATAGGAACCTCCTAAAATTTATTGCACAAATGCTCCTTTCTTTTCAATAACTCTTAGCAGCCTATTGTCAACATCTGATGTTAGATTTGCAATTTTAGCAGCTGGTAAGTTGTTTGCAGCAACTTTAACTGCCTCCCAGATGTCACACTTGCTGTTGAATTGCCTTCCATTAGAATAAATATCTCTCTTGAGGATGCTCCACAGTTCTCAATGGAATTCAAGTCACAGCTATTTGAAGGCCATAAAAGAATCTTCAACAAATCCCTTTTCTTTAAACCAGGATTTAGTAAACTTTGATGCATGACTTGGTGTGTTGTCTTGCATAAAGATCATAGATCTACACTTGGCTAAAGACTGGTTATCAAGTCATTCAAAGAAATATTGCTCTAGAAAATCACAGTAACTTTTGGAATTCATTTTAACCTCGTCTTTCAGTTAAAATGGACCCACGAGCTCATTACCAATAATCCCAGCCCATATCATGATCCCACCACTGCCTTGTTGGTGTTTAAAAAATTTTCTTGAGTCATATTGCTTGCAAACCCATCCTCGGGCCCATCGAGGGTGATCCTTGATTCGTCTGTAAAAAGCACTTTACTGAAATCAGATTTCATGTATTTTTTTGCCCACTGCAATCTTCTATGTTTTTTTGTTAAAATGGGTTTCTTTATTTGATTTTTAACATCAGCAAACTTCCTTAATGCTTTACACCTTGTTTCCCTTGACACCATAGGAGCTCCAGCAACCTCAAATATGAACGCACTTGACGCATTTGGGTTTCTTATTAATTCTCTTCGGATATTTGATAGATCTCACTTTGTTAAATTCCTGAATTCAGCCTGAGACTTTTTTTTCTTTGGTTGAATTCCCATTTGACATATTTTCTTGATTGTTCAATGATCCCTTTTCAAATCCTTAGAAATTTGAAGCGAAGACTTTCCTTTGCTAATTTCTTTGATTATATAGTTCTTTTCATTCATTGTTAGTTCTTTTTTACGAGCCATAATACTAAATTCTAGTTCTTGCAAATAATCTCTTGACACTGCAAATTGCTATAATTACTGAAAAAATACTAAATATCAATCTGAAATTGAAAATTGGAACTTAATTGCTTTCATGCTTACTCGCTATACATAATAGTACAAACTATTTCATTGGATAACACATATCTATGAATTTTACATAAAATATTTGACAATACCTCTTTTGCATATAATCTCTAGATGCAGTTTATATATATATATATATGTATGTGTGTGTAATTGGAAATACTGTTTTTGAAGGCAAAATTGCTGATTTAAAAGTGGTTTGTTGATAAGGTGGCATTTGAGGCAAGCAGGCTTTTCGGTAGAGTGCTCAATATCAAAGAGATAGAGCGTTAATAGAATTAATATGAAAAGGTTTTTTTCATTTAACTCATATTCACTTCAGAGTTTCATGATTATATAGGTATAAACACTTGTCGGAACAGAGTTAATCTACTGTAATTTCTTGATTCTCATGTACGTTTATTGATGTGAGTGTGTTATTTATTTGCTTTCATGGGTGTTGATAGATCTTTCTCTTTTTTTATTTTATTTTTTTTTACTTTTTCTCTTTTATCCTTTTCTCACCTTTTGTTTGTTGGTCTCCGGTTTATTGTTGATCATTTAATTTAGGTTATGGTTGAAATTTTTCTGTGTATATATGTTTGTGCCGGTGTGTGTTCATGAATGTGTCCATGTGTATATATGTTTGCACACACTCACCCACACGTATATGTTTGTGTGTTCATGTATGTGCGTCTAATTGTGTGCACTTTTTTTTTTAGTGGGTTGTATTATTTCACTTCACTTATTGTTTTATATTTGTGTTTAGCTGTGTGAAAGAACAGTTTTTTGTTGGTGATGTTGTTAAACCAATTGTATCATTTTGTGCAGGTGTGTGTTTGTGTGCATGTCCATGTATTCACACACATAAGCATGCAAATACACATCCACCCACACATTTGTGCATTCATGTGTGTGCACGTGTTTGTGTTAACTGCATATGTATTTTTAATGGGTTGTGTTATTTAACTTTACTTAGTATTTTAATATATTTTAGTAGGTTGTATTGCTTAATTTTTTAATTTTACTTAGTGTTTGATACTTGTGTTTAGTTGTATGAAAGAACAAGACATTTACTTGTTTCTTTTGTATGTTTTCATTGGTTTATGTTTAGTATGCTCCTTTTTGTGTTTTTGTGCAGGTGGCTATTTATGTGTGCTTGCATATGTGCACACATGCATGCATACAAATATGCATGTATACACATACCTGCACATATATGTTTGTGTGTGTGCATCTGTGTATGTATGTTCACATTCCTACATGCACTTTCCTTCCTTTTTTAATTTTTTAAAAATGTGTGTTTTTTAGCATTTTGTAAAGAATGTAGTAATTTATTTGTTTTGTGTGATTGGGTATTATTTTTGTTACATACCATACCTATGAACACTAATAGGTATGTCCCAATCCACAAAAATACATTAGGCACTATTGTAAGCGGGGATAATATGCTAAGTAGTCCACCACTAGCAGGGGTTTACATACTTCACGTCGCTGGCGAGTATTGTATTTTGTTGATGTTATAAAGATTACCATTTTATTTCCAACCTCTGTTTTGGTTATTCCTCATTCAGTAACCCTTCCTAGGTTACAACAATTTTGTTGATGTTGTGAAGAGTGTGTGTTTTTGTTCTGTTATTTTGCATTTTATAAGGGGTGTGCTTGTGGTAATTTGTATATTGGTTTTATGTGTGTTTTGTATGGTTGAGTGTTATTTTGTTGGTTATTATTTGTTGATATTGTGGTTGCTCTTTTTCTGGGTGGATCATGTTCGGGATTGATATGGAAGTTTGTGTTTGTGATGGGGCTATGTTTTGTGTTGTCTTTCTTTTCTTGTTTTAGATTAGTATTTAGGTAGCAGAGTAGATGCTTATTTAAATGTCTGCATTTCCCCATTATTTCATTCCTCTTGTTCAGGAAGTTGTTTTGATACTTAAAGGTGATGATTGTTAATTTTTCCTTCAGGCACAATTTACAATTTCTGCTGTTGCTACTGTGTGGGGCTGCTTTTTTTTTTAGAATTCCCCATTTAATTTAAGTAATGATGTTATTTTGTTTCTGACTCCATATGTATTTTGATAGTGTTGTGTTGTTTTTGTATTTTTCTGTTTTAAAGGAGGTTTGATGATTATTAAAACTTTCTTTAAAGGCTGTTTCTGTATCTCCTATATAGGTTTATATATATATATATTGCTCAATACCTAATAGTTAATTTGTAGGAAAATAAAACCATGCAAGGAAGACTTTTTATTTTCATCTAAATTTTATGACTAAAAACGTCACACAGGAAATTATCCTAGATGGTAAATGAGTTAAAGCAGGTGACAAAAATTTTAAGAGAACTTTTCTGTTAAGTCAAAATGATTACCTGGAAGTTTCCAAATGGACAGAATGAAATGGAATTAGTGAAAAAAAAATCCTATTAGTATTATAATTATAATATTATATTTGTTAATTAAAACTGAGTAATTTTCAGATCTTTTCAATTGCATAAAAGTCAACATATGACAAAGAAAGAACAAAAAAAAAAGAAGCTTACCTCCCTGACAGATGTACTTTCTCTGATAAAGAAAAAATTATAACTTCCAAGGTAATGATCGATTTTCCCACCTGGGACATATGACATGGGAATCAACTCTACCCCAAGTCTATGCCGAGGTACTGTCTACAAAGCAAAAGTACAAAAGTAAAACAATCACAAATGTAAACTAACACACGCATATTATATATATATATATATATATATATATATGAGAGAATATATATAAATTTCTATATATCAGAACAATGTTAAAGTAATGTTTTTATTGATGCAATTATATATGTGGGGGAGGGGGAGATATAAATATGGATGTCAGTTATAATTATATATCAAGGAGAAATGTTGAGGATGTGGGAACACTGAATTTTAAATTGTTTCTTTTTATTTCGTCAGTCTAGCCAATTGCATATATACAGGGTGAGGTAAAAACTGTGCACTATGGGGATTAATGGATAGGTCAAAGAGGTCCTGTTGAGTGGTCACCATGGTCACCAGACTGCACACCTTTGGATTATTTTTGGTAGAGCCATTTGAAATCAGTGGTTTATCAGATGCGTCCAAGAAATAATGAGGAACTTAAAGAAAGAATTAAATATGAATGCAGTAAAAATGACAGAGGAAACTCTCCAACGTGTTAATGAATCATGCAGGCACAGAAATGAAATATCTTTTGAAAAAGAAGGAGGATATTTTAAACAGCACATGTAACAATTAAATAACTTGTAAATAAAATGTTCATGTGTAATCATACTTTTAAAAAATTGTCCTTATGGTGCATGACTTTTGCCTCATCCTGTGTGTACATATATATATATATATATATATATATATATATATATATATATTTCAACACATCCACACATAAATACAAGTTGGATAAAAACATGACAGACAAAGAATATTTATTTGTAATTCATTTTTTATGTTTACCCAAATAAATGTCTCCTTAAATATAAAGTGAATGTAAATATTTTGGAAAAATTTGTGATTAGCACTTACTGCTCTGAATCTGGTCACAATCAAAATCAGGGAGAATTGTGGATGCTGTTTGTTTTCAATGAATTGTCTCAGAGTTTGCCATTAGAACATCAATGTCATTATGAAGATCAAGAGTTGAAATTCCAGCCGAGATGGTTTGCGGTCAACTATTTATTTAGTTGCATATATGGGTCATTTAATGCCAAAATTTAATTTTCTTGGGATTAATAATTTTTTGATAAAAATGTATTGCTGGTAATTTCTTTTTCACTATGAGAATGTTTTGCTGGTATTTTCACTATAAAAATGTATTTTTATACTTTCATTGTATTTTGACACCTGTTTGGGGGTTACCTATTTACCCATAGCTGGGACCCTAACAGGTGCTACCAACCTGGGTCATGTTGGACCTGGTAACAACAGCAACAGCAAGTGGTTTCACACTCCTCAAAACCTCCTGATCAGAGGCCTTTCTGCCGGATGTAGTTTATCATTATACTCAGGACGAGGTCAATTGTCACTGATGCTCATGAAAAAGGCACGAATCCACCTCTCATAATAGGGCAAGTCAGAAATTACACCTTGCTGCTGGTACCATGTAACCTAGTACAACCCCTGTCTCATATGACTTGGAGAAGAGGTAGACACAATTCAATCTTCAGAACTTGCTCTGATTCCTGTAACTTTCTCTTTATTAGAGAATGCTAACTTACTTTCCCTATAAAGGAATATAGCACAAAATAATTGAGTTACTTCTCTTGTCTGCTAGTAAGAGCGGGCACGTCTGAATTTCAATATGGTGACAAGCTGATATGCACATGGAATTCAAACTAATCCTTGCTGTTCTCAGGCAGTAAATGAATAAAAGTTGTTTTATTATGTGTTAAAATGCACATGTCTTTTATTTTCATTCATTTTTGTTTATCCCAACAATCTTGGATATAACAGGTATTATCATCTGTTCTTTTTTAATTTATATGGTAATGGTGAAATTAGACGTTTCTATTTGGCATTTGTTGACCAAAAAGTTTAGTGTCACTGTCATCAGAAATTTTTATAAAAGCCTATTTTTAAAACAGTTTTTCAGCAAATCAGGCTTCTCAAGTCCACTAGTTGTAATTGCTCTTTCTACTATTGATGAGAGTTTCCCTGCAAAGCTTTTGTTTAAGGCTGTGTGGAAAGTCAGTGTCTTGATTATATTGTTTTTCCCCTTCCAGTTAGATGTGCTATCCATTTTACTAGTTACTGCTGTTGGAAATCTTCAAGTAATATGGTGTTTGTGATTTGGTAAAGCTCTCTGTTTTGTAGGATTGGTCTATAATAACTGATGAACAATTGTCTTCTTTAAGACCTAAATGTTTCATTCATTTGAAACAATTTTTAACATTGATCCAAGTAAACAGCTCTATATAGATGATAAGTTAGACATTTCTTGACAAGTTGGATGCCATACATGACATCCACATGAGAGTCAAGATCTGAAGAGGCCATTTAAGGACATAACTCAAGTTCATATTTATAGGTTACTTTGGTTTTGTAGCAATTTGCACTGTTGGGTGAAACTACCCTTAGTGCAGCATATTCCATATTCAGTTTCCTTAAATTTGATACTAAATTTGTCATAACTGACCTTTTACACTAAGCTATTTGAAAAAAGAGACTAATTAAGAGTGGGGAAAAATGAGTGACAAATAAGAAAAGAAGAAAATGAAAGACAAATAAGGAGAGGGAAAACCCGAGACAAGTCTGCAAAAATAAATATACTTACATGATACTTCATACCATTTTCCAGTTTCATGGGTTTGGGAGCTGGAAAAAGATAAAAAAATAACAAAACATTGAATATTGAGTGTCTATAAATGTGAGAAAAGTCATTCTAAATCATTTCGTGGCTATTAAACTCATTCTTTGAGATGTAGAAGAGATCATATGAAATGTAAGAGAAAGAATGAGTTCAAGCCTTAAAAATCCTTGGAATGAGTTGGTTCAGTTGATTTTACAACATGAGAAACCTTATTGGATTATTTAAGGTCAAAATTAATTTTCTTTATTTATATCTAAATACATAAGTATGTACTTAAAAATTAAGTATCACTCTAATCACATCACATAAATCAAGAGTGACTTGAGCCTCTGGACATCGCATGGTGGATCTAAAAATAGAGCTCATCTGAACATTTGCCATAGAAATAGCAAGAAAGATGTGACCGGTTTGCAATGTTGCATCTGTGAGAAAGTGGAGAAGACTGCATAAAAACAATTTTGTACACTATCACAGGAATAATTTTATATTTACAATATTCTAAAAACTAATACAATTGTATTAAAACTAGTGCAATGCAATATTTACCAATTTATAAATAAATAAATATGGAAACAACATTTTATTCATAAATTTATATGAACCAACTAAAAGGAATTGTTATTGTTAACTATGTTGACTCTTTTAGTCCTATCTAAGATTGAACTCACTATTCTTGGCTAACAAATTTCTGAAGATATTAGACTTCTACTTCTCAGCTTAATGGATTTGTTCTAAGCAGTTGCAGTAGCTCGTCTCCCCTCTTGCCAAAGTGGATTTAATCATGAGGCATTATTTAAGTTTATTGAAATTCCTACTCAGTGAACATTTTTCTGGAGAAACTCACCAAAAGCTCAACATAAATCTTAAACCCTTTATTTAATCTGTGGTGGTTGATTGTTTTTGCTCCACTGCTTGTGTCTAGGGATATCTTGTCTAGTTGTTTTTTTTAGTACTGCTCAGTTATTCCTTGCCCCAAAATCTAAAAAAGTACACACTTATCAGTGTAACAGGGCAGTGGTTTTGACAGAGTTATATTAGTAATAAACTATTGCTTGGTGACTTTAGGTATTGATAGACTTATTAATCCTGAGCAAAGTGAATATAATATTTTACTTAGGGGCCACCAGTTTAAGAAATAACTTGGGACTGTTTCACTAAAATTAATTTAAAAATCAGTCAGTTTTTAGTTATGCAGTAACATCTCTTTTTTTAATTTTTTGTAAACTACAATATTACAGTAAAAAAGATGATGATAGATGGCATAGTATCCCTGATTGATGTGTTTTTTCACAACTTATCAACTCTTTGCAGATTATTTAAAACCAAAACATATTTTGAATTGTAAGAATAATTTTATTTTTTTTTAACAGCGAAAATTGCATTACCAATTTTTTCCAGATAACAACGATTTTACCACTACTTCACCCATAGATATGAGAGAAGAGATGGATTCATATATTTCTAAAGGGTATTTGTGCATAAGTGAATGTAACGAACCTGACTGGAATTTGAACTTGACTCCCTGATTTCTCATTCCCAGCAACTATCTATTACACCACCAACACACCCACATAGTGTCCCTGAAAAAGTCACATGATACAAAAATGTATTTGCTAACCCCCTTGGTACTAATAGTTTTGGAAATGGTTGTAGGTTTCCAGCACATATAGTTGATTATGTGATGGGTGTTAATGTTGCGTATTGAAATACAGCATGACCCAAATGTAGGCCTACTCAGGGACCCCAGACTATAAGCATGTGAAATTTGTGGGTACATTTAGGTGCATCTGGCTTTAAAGAGTTAACAAATAGAAATATTGTTAAACCTTTGTTTTTGCTAATTTTAAGATGATTTCCCATTAGTAATTATTTCACCCCTAGCAAGGCAATAAAGCCACTAAGATGCAACTGTTACAGAGAGTGAAAAAGAATGAGAAAACTTTAGTGAGGAGATATGAGGAAAGGACAATAAAAGAACAGGCTTCATGAAGACAAAAGATGGCAGTTGATGTTGCATTTAAATTTTTGAAGATTGTAGGGAACAAGGAATTGGGAGTGAGTTCCACAGGTGAGAAGTGTGAGAAAAGAAACTATTAGAATAGAAGTGGCAGTTGCATCTAGCTAGTTCAGCAGTAAAATGGTGGGACCTAGTTGCCAATCTAATTAGGAAGCTGAAATTCATGCAGTTGAGGCACTAAGGGAAAAAGCTCATCAGAACAGTTGCCACGAAAATATTTGTAGAAAAGACAGAGGGAGGCCACATCACATTGGTGAGAAAGTGACTGAAGTCAAGATAAATTATATTACAGACCCTTCTTTGGATTTTGTCAAGAATCTCAAGATACATAGCAGGAACACCAGACTAGATGTGGCAGCAGTAATCAATGCATGGATGAATGGTAGATTTATGCATATGCAAAATTGTCTGGCAGAACACAACTTTCCCAGCAGTAGACCTAGCAATTGATATAATCACCCCACTTAATGTCAGTGGAAAATGTGAGGCCAAGAGGGTGCAGAGTGTTGCTCTCTTGGATTTTAGCATCCGCCATGCTGATGGCAGACAGAAAAGGTTCTCTGCAGTGATTAAATGAAAGCAGTTTTGTTTTGAAGGTGTTAAAATTTACAAGACATTTCTTGCTCCAGTTAAGGTCCTTTTTGAGAGCAGTTGTCAGGTTTAATTTGTAGGATGTGTTGGACTTGCTAAGGCAGGAGTAAATAATTGTGTTGTCTGCATAAATACATAATTGGGAACTGATGACATCGGGAAGGTCATTGATAAAAATCAGAAAGAGCATAGGTCTGGGGATAGAGCCCTGGGGGACTCCTGGATTAGTATGAAATGATATAGAAGCGTATCTGTTCAACACAACCTTCATTACATGACTTATTAGGAATGAATGATTAAGCCGAATATTTGTCCAGTGATACCAACAAAATCTAAATAATTCTCCACATGGAATTTAGGTTTTCACTCATAAAATGCAAAGGTTTCTTTCAAGTTACAGAATATATTTTGTAAAAAAAATGATCCTGAATTTTATGTAAATTTTTTATGTCTAAATGACTAAAAAGCTATTGAAATGAAACAATCTGTGTTTTCTCACTGAATCTGTTCAAACTCTACAACAAGGTTATCTTAAGGGAGCTGAAGATCCTGCAATGATTTATTATTGATGGGCATAATCTTAATATAAGATATACAGATGACACTCTGTTGATGGCAGACACAAAAAGCAAGCTACAGAATCTAGACAAGTTAGCAAAGGAAAGCATGAAGAAAGGACTAACCATCAATTATAAGAAGAGAGAATGAATGGTTGTCAGCAAGAGAAAAAAAACAAAAAAAAAACAAGATGTCACCCTCAAACTAGTAGAGAAGTGTTTTAACAGAGGATGGAAAATGTGACCAAAATCCAAGCATGCATTGGATTAGTAAAAGGTGCTTTTCAAAAGCTAAGCAAAGTATAAGAAACAGCAAAAGTTCATTAGAAACAAAAAAAAAAAAAAGGGCTGAATATCAATCCTCTTATATAGCTATATAAGTCTTATATAGCAATGAATGCTGGACAGTTTCCTCACAGAAGAGAAAACTGAAGACAACAGAAATGTGGTTCTACAGAAGGATGCTAAGAATTCCATGGATGAAGCAAGTAAGCAATGAGGAAGTCTTAAGGAAAATGGAAACAAAAAGGACACACTCAGAATCACAAAGAGAAGAGATAGCTGAAATTTCTTGGACACATAATGAGGCAGGAAGGCTTGGAGAATTTGACACTCACAGAGCATGTTTTAAACTGAATCAAGTAAATTGACTGTACATCTGTACTTAAACTTGTTCTAGTACATCAGGATTTTCTGTTCTGTGTATCTATGTTTTGGGAAACTTTGTCTTATATGAAGTCCACTGGGTAACAAGAAATAACTTTATGTCTGCTATCCAAACAAATGATGCCATACTAAACTAAATCATATACACTGATTATGAATCTGCAGTCAGAATTAACCTAAAATGTCAGTTTTTTGAGATGTGTGCATAACAGGTTTCTGACAAAGTTTCTAGAGAATACCATGGACAGAGTACATAAATAACAAAGACGTCTTAAGGAAAATGACAACAAAAAGAACACTTATACTCAGAATTACGAAGTGACAGCTAAAATTTCTTGGACACATAATGAGAAAGGAAGGCTTGGAGAATTTGACACTCACAGGACATTAAGAGCAAGAGGCACAGAGCAAGGTAGCAGGCCGCCTACCAGAAGATTTTGTGTGAATGGATGGCAAAACAGGGGACAGGAGACTTGGCAAAGAGATAAACACTGCTAAGGGCTACAAGGGATAGGACGTTGTGGAGAACCATGATCGCTGATATTCCAAAAGGATATGACACATAGATGTTTTGTTAACAAATGTTTTAAAAAAACAAAAAAAAAATTAATGAAAAACTTGTTAAATTTCTATTTGACCTTGTGAAATCACTCTTGATATAACAGGGCTGTCTTGTATTTCCTCCATTGTAAACATCATATCAGGATCTTGTTCACAAGAACTGTTGGACGGCACACCCAAAAGGAGGGAAGAACCATGTTCTGAAATTAGAACCAAAAATATAAATTTCAACATTAAACACAAAATTCGTTCCTAGATGAAAATTATGCACTAGCATTATAATTTGAAAATTAAACTTCTAGCTATAAACCTAAGTTTGGAAATTTTTAAAAACTATTACAGTGATTTTCAACATTTTTTTTACCCATGGACCAGGTTTACTGTTAATTTCTTTTTTTTGGTGGACCTCCATAACCATTCAATGAAAAGAAAGCTTATTTTATTTTTTACTAATAAATAAGTTTAGGAATTGCACTATAGAAATAGTAAATGTATATACTTCATTTTGAAGTAAAACTAATTTAATGAAAATAAACTTGTATTTAACAACTAAATTTTATGGAACTCTAGTACATATATAAGCCCTCAGAGTAGATGGTTTTGCTGCTGAAGAGGTTAATACTGTTAATCCTTCCTCTATATATAATCATTATTATATTAATATATTATATTATTATTTTTTTATATTAATTTATATTAATATTATATTTTATTAATATTTAAAATTAATATTATTATTTATTTATTATTTATATAATAAATTATAATCTTTATATAATTTTCCTTTACATTATGTGTGTGTGTGTATATATATATATATATATATATCTCCAGGTAAAAATGGGAACAAATGGAATAGGAGTCCACTGTACATAACATTTAATTTAAAAGAGGGCTCAATACATAGTAGAGCTAAACATTATTTATTTTAGGATATTAAAGCATGTTAAAAATTGTTACACAATTATAATTATGTTTAAACACCATAAATGTGCCTCTTCAGGTCAGTAGTTTAACATTGCCTGAAGAGACACATTTATGGTGTTGAAACATAATTGTAATTGTGTAGCGATTTTTAACATGTTTTAATATCCTAAAATAAATAATATATATATATATTTGTAAATGAAAGCAGAAATTGATTTATATCTGCTTACTTAAAGTGGAAGTTATGAAAACATGTTTTTTCCTTTCACTTTACCTTGGTTTAAACCAACGCTACGATTACTGATGATACTCAATCCCCACCAGCTCTGTGATCAAGAAACATAACATAGGCAGAGCAGGGTGTTGAACGGGGTGGCCAGCAATCAACAACCCGCTGACCATTGACAGTATCAACCAGTGTGGGATTGACCCTACAATCAACTCATCAGCTGAAGACCAAGTCATCTTCTAGTATAGACGGTGTGTGGCAAGGGACATATCTGATTTTGCTGACCAGATTGACCCAGGATCAACCAGGGTATGGTGTTATTTTATATATATATATATATATATATATATATATATATATAGTGTATTGGGGCAGCAGATTATTATTCAAACATATATTGTTAAATATAAGAGACAACAAATGTCTATTATGTTTGATAATGAGCCGTTCTAAGCTTCGTATAATGGCTTTAGTTTTGGGAGAAAATAAAGAAAAAAACTGTCCAACATTTGGATATTTTTTTATTATGCTGTTCTTTGATCTTAAGCTTTTGGCTCACATGAGCCATCTTCAGAGTGGTTATATGGACATTAGTTTTTATTATTATTTTCTTCCAAAACTAAAACCAGTATACAGAGCTTAGAACAGCTCATGATCAAACATAATAGACATTTGTTGTCTGTTATATTCAACGATATATGTTTGAAAATATATATATATATATATATACACACACACCTTTAATTTTATTCAACTTTGACCATTAACCTATATATATATATATATTATTCTTTTGATCCTGTAATTATGAGTTTAGCTAATGTAGTATCTTTCTATTCATGGAAATATATTGCGACTATTTTTGATGAATAAAACTTTTCTCTATAATTGTATTGGTGTGTTTCACCTACAATTTACAACATATATGCAACAAATTTATTACAATTTTCACTTCAATGAATAATTATATTTTCAGTTCAATTTTTGATTTAATGTATATTGTAACAGAAATTGCCAGTTATGTTATTGGGGTGTGTAAAGACCCTAAAAGATTATCCATTTTCAAAAATCTGAGGTGACCAATGCAAGATTAATGATAATAAAGTAAAAAAAAAAAAAAAACACTATTTAAATTTTGGAATTGTTGAAAATTTTTCAGAGACAATTTGCTTTTCAGGATGATTCCAGTACAAAGGTGAAAAAAGGGCTGTTCACTATGAAACCAATTGAAATAGTAATGAATGAAAGCCTATGCTGGTAAATAAATTATGATTTAATATCTATATGTATTGTTTTTAAAATTTAGGGTGTCTTAATAATAACATACACTACAGGTCCAACACTAGCTTAATCTGGCCCTACAAAAAATATATTTTATCTTAAAATATAGAGGGACAAATTCTTTTTAATCCCAACATTTAATAAAAGGTAAAAAAGCTTTTTTTTCTTAATAATAAAATATTTATTCACCTTGCTTCCTATCAGAAATCTGGGGTTGAATTTCTCCAAGTCCTGTGCACATTCCTGTCACAGTTATCTAAAATAAAAGGATATAAAAAAAATTAAAAGGATTTCCAGAAAAACTATGGAAAAGAAAACAAAAAATAAAACATGGCTCATAAATAGATCAAATATATTAAATTGCTAATACAGTTGTTAATCATAATCACTCTATCCATATATTGTTTTGTGTGTCATCTCTGGATTCTAGTTGTCTATTGGCAATTCCTCAGTAGGGACCCCAATATTGTACCAACAGGCCCAATTTGGACAGACAATTTTCTTTGGATTTCTTTTAACTCACTTTATTTTTGGGAAGTGAAGGATGTAGTAGGTATTGGATCTTGGTGGCAGAGAGAATAGATATCAACAGGTTGGTCAGCTACCATCCTCTCCATGTGGTGGCTTCTCTCCCAGCTGAAACTACAGCATGTAAAAGCATCTAGTAGTGGAAGGCATAGACAAGCACTAGAGCTCTTGATTTCTCTATTGGAAATCACTGCAACCACATCACCCATCACTCCTTACATCTGGTCACCTAACTCCCCAGACTGCAACACCTCTGATATGTGGGGTGCAGTTGAGCGAGAGACCAACAAAACTCCTTGTAACACCAAAGATGAACTGAATGCAAGGATTATGGCAGCATTCACCAACTTAAACAAGGAAACTGTCCAGAAGAGATGCAGAAGATTCTGAAATTGTCAGGGGGCCGTGTTTGAAGTCAATAGTGATTTTATTCAATAAATTTACTCTTTACTATTTTATATTTTTCTGTAATTTTGGTAAATATATCTGTTAAAATTAAATATCAGTGTTATTTTCATTTTTGCATAATCTAAACAACAATTTATCCATCTCACCCCGCATAAAATGATAAACTTGATTGATAGCATAAATTTATTGGAGAAAAGTCAATCCATAATTATTAAATCTGGTTGAAAAAAGAAAAACAAAAAGAATTAAATACCTGTACTTCATCTTCATCAGCAAGTTCCAAATTGAAGTCAAGGCAGCTTAAACAGCATGGAGCCATTTTTCTCAGTTTAAAGCAGATTTTCTGAAAATAGATTCATGTCTTATTTTTGTTTGTATTTTTAAGAAAAAAAAAAAAAAAAGAATTTTTAGAAGTTGTAAATTTAATGTGAACTTGACAAATATTCAACATGCATATGGTAAACTTTCTGAGATTTCAAATCTAAAAAAAGAACTATTTTAATGAACAGACAATAAGCATCTGTATTTGCTTTAAACTCATAAATAGCTTTTCTTATTTAGATTAGAAGAGATGATTCCCTGCCCGTCACACACTCTGTTTGAATATGCATGCGCATATTTGATGTATATGTGAATGTCTCAGTTGTGTGTGAGTGACTTACATGTACTCGTGCCATTTAATGTACAAACACACACAATTTGAGTTATTTGAAACTAAGACATGAGAATAATACATTCCCCTCCTGCTCAGTCTAAACAATACCTACTCTGGGTTGAGCACTAAAATGATAAATTTAAAGAAAAAAAAATGAATTATTTAAAACCCTAAAAAGTCAAATAATAAGGTTTTATTCAACTTTTTAGAAATAATACAGATATGAATTATAGAGATATTAAATCAGATAAAAGATTTTAAATTTGATCTGCTAATAATTTAAACGTAATCTGATCTTAAATATGTATAATTTATGTTTCAATTATTATAAATGCTGAAGAGAAATATGAATGCTAAATATGTTTTGAATAATAATTTTATTGAATAAACACAGAAGGAAAACATCTTAGCTGACATGTTTTGCCCTTTGATGGACTTTATGAAGGCAAATGTAAGGATTTTATTTTGCAACAAGTATTTATAAACAGAAGTAAAAATGGCATTACTTTTTCAGAATTTTAAAATTTTAGAATGCTAATAAATAGACTTCATGTTAACTGAAAACCAAGGTAAATTATGGAGGATGCTAAGTGATGTAATTTAATGTCTAATAAATGATAGTGAGTAAATGTTATTTATGTCATTGAATCTGTTCTTTACAATGCATTTATTATTTATATTATTTTAGTCTGAGATTAATTTATGCATTATATATTTTAAATAATACAAGGTTTGGAATTTAAGTTTTATTTTGATTTTTCAAAATCTTTATAGTCATGTATGTTGGCTTGGGAAAGGAGTATATCTTTTAGGAAAGGATATATTTGAAAAAATTTGGGACACAGATTTATATTTTGGTAAGATTCGATAACAGTATTCTCAAGAATTTTCCATCTAACTTTATTCTTTGCTTGTTTATTTGTTCAAATCTTTGATCTTAAAAAAACTTTAATCTTGATATTTTTGCCTGTTTTATCTTGAAATTCATTAAACAGAATTAACTGCAATTGAATAATTATTTGATTTGACTTTATTTCATCCGCATAGTCCAAAGCATAATGTTTTCTTTGAATCTTAAAAACATTCAAAATACTTTCTAATATAATATGGAAGATATATTAGAAAAAACTCATGACAGAAAATTTAAAAGACAGGTAAAAAACGAAACAAAATAAAGATTTCTTAGAAATACCCTTATTAAGTGGTTAAAAAGATCGGAGAAATCCTTAACAGTCATTGGATTTTTCTGACATTTTCCACGCCACACATGAGTAAACATCTAAAAGAAAAAAAAAGTCATTATATAAAAAATTGTAAATAGACAATACAATATAGCAGAAATATAGAGCACATTAAGGTAAAAAAGAACAAAACAAAAACTACATTATATTTCTTTCTGAAATACTTTTGTTTTTTAAATTTATTATGACATATGGATGGCAGAACAAGGATCAGAAAAAAAAAAAAAACACAAAATAATATTAAGAGCTACAAGGACAGAAAATTGTGAAGAGCCATGATTGCCTACGTCTTGAAGGACAAAGCACAACATTGCTTAACTTCAGTGATTGTATGTGAACTGGTGTTTCAACCTGATATGGTCGTAAGCCTTCATTAAAAAAGAAACTGAATATTTACAGAAGTAATATAAAAGGTGTTGCAATGGAGATACTTTTAGATATTTAATGTAGTGTCATGCATTAAAAGTTAAAACTACCATTCGGTGAAGTTTAAAAATGTTGTCCTCAGTTTTAAATGGGAGCGAAGATTACAATAACCCCCTCACAAACAACCCCACTCACAATTACTATTATTATTATTGTGATGATGATGATAACCCACTCACAATTACTATTATTATTGTGATGATGATGATATAAATAACTGGTTTTATCTATTTCCAATTTAAGAGAATTAGAGGAAATAAGATTTATATTTTTATAGGGAAATGAGAATAAAGTACAATAAATTTGGTGTATTTCTTTTGAGTAAAAACAAAAAGACATATTACATAAACTTGATCTTAATCTACCAAAAATGAGTAAATCCAGTGTTAGAGTAATAGGCCATGATTAAATATAATTGATGGAAATGCTTAACAAACAGAATTGACAATGTTTGCAATAATCAATAACAAAAGAAAGAGAAGAACAGGGCCAAAATAATACTAAGCAAACAATACAGGGCGCGATGGATAAATTGTCGTTTAAATAAAACAAAAATGAAAATAACACTGACATCTGATTTTAACAGATATATTTACCAAAATTACACAAAAATATGTTGAAATACTAAAGAGTAAATTTATTCAATAAAATCACCAATCAAACACGGCCCCCTGACAATTTCAGAATCTTCTGCATCTCTTCTGGACAGTTTCCTTGTTGGTGAATGCTGCCATAATCCTTGCCTTCAGTTCATCTTCAGTGTCACAAGGAGTTCTGTTGGTCTCTTGCTCAACTGCACCTCACATATAATAATCAAAGGTGTTGCAGTCTGGGGAGTGAGGTGGCCAGATATAAGGGGTGATATGGTCACAGAAACTATCTGACAGCCATAACTGGGTTCTCCTACTTGTGTGGCAGGGTGCAGAGTCCTGTTGTCATACATAGGGTCTTCCAGCAGCCACCATCTTGACCCAAGGCACTTGACGTAGGCCTCCATGTTAAGTCTGCAGTCCTGTGCGAAGATGAATGAAGGCATAATGTCACCATCACTAGTGATCACTCCAAACACCTTCATAATCACCATTAGACTCATCCAACTCCTCTGCACTATCTTCAGATTGAGACCCAAACACTCTGAAATGTTCGTATTGAAGCTTCCGGCACAAATGCCAAGCAGTACAGATTGCCATTTTCAAATTTCTGATGGAGCTAATTGTATCATGGTGCTCTTTTTCTCACTGACCCTACTATATTGTGTAGTTGACAAAATAAAAAACAAAAAAATGCACATGCACGAAATAAAAAATATAAAATGTCAACAATTTACTCATCGCACACTGTAAATGCAAGACAAAAGTAAGCAAAGCAGTAGTAATGAGGCAAAAAAATTCACAAAGTAAGAATGGTGTTAACACATGAAAGGGATACAGACAAATGATTGTAGCATTCTGACTTCAATGCAAGAAAGAACAGAAATATGGCAGATTTGACCAAGAAAGGGGTCTATTATTATTTGCTAGGAAGAAATACCAGCATGCATCTGTATGATTTGTCTATAAATTTGGGGAGGTTGGTAGTTCTGGAGTCATTCTGAAATGATTGGAATCAACACCAGCAAAGATAATTTTTCATTGCACTTGAAGCACTCAATGTTCTTGAACAATTCATTTTGAATGGTTCATGTATATTTTAGAAGCTATTAAATAAAAGAAAAAATAAAAGAAAGTAAGTTTAGATATGTTTCAACAAAGTAAATTATCTGTCAAGGTTCAAAAAAAAAAATTTCTACTGCGCAAATTAATTAAAAAATAATTCAATTTGATTTCCTTTTTAAAGATATTGTCTGTTTCTGGTTCTATACAATTTAAAATTTTGTTAATTGTAAAAAAATTTCATTCTTATTTTTTAATTACTCTTAGGTGCTTAACAGAAGTGGTGGTGGACAAATGTTTATTTTTTTTTAGAAATCTTCTGACCAACCTGTTCCATAATTTCACAATTTTTGATCCTTTAAATGGTTTCCCAACATTAAATATAGTGGATGTACAGGTATCATAATGGTTATTATGTTATGAGTGGAAATTGGAATGAGAGTGCTGGGTTCAAACTCTGGCCAAGTCTTTTTGGTTTATTTTGCACTAATGCCTCCAGAAAAGACATGAATCCAACTTCCTTCAGCCATGGGTTAAATAGCAGAGTAGACTGAGCTTACTTGCCTTGGGTGGCAGCTAGCCTAGGAGATGGAAATTCAAACCTCTACTACCTTATAGTTGTGGATATCGTTGGCAGAAAAAAAGCTAATGAATAAACCCTATACAGATTTGCAGATGCACATGTTCTAAACTGTATTAGTTTATCTCCTTTCCTTCGGACTTTAGTGCCTAATACTAAAAGGAACATCTTGACATATGAGCAGTTCAAAATCTCCATAGCTCCCATCCAAGCCTATAGCACCCTGCACTATACCATAATCCCTCCCAAGATAGATACACACTATTGAATGAACAAACAAAATATATATGTAATTATTATTTCATATTACTATAAATGTTATTTAGTAGGTACACATGTTTGTATTGATATCCTTGTTTATTTACAAACAGTGGAATTAATGTCTACCAGCCGAGACCATTGAAATTCTTATTAAAGAAAATGTCCTTCACAACAGTTGTTAATAAGATCTTTGATGAGCTAGGCTGGCAGATGTTAATTTTCCTTGCCTTCAGTTCATCTTTGGTGTTACGAGGAGTTTTGTTGGTCTCTCGCTTAACTGCACCTCACACATAATCAAGGGGTTACAGTCTGGGTAATTAGGAGGTCAGCTGTAAGGGATGAAGTGGTCAAAGAAATTGTCTGACAGGTTTCTCCTGCTTGTGCGGCAAGGTGCAGTTTTGTTGCCAGACATAGTGTCTTCAAGTAGCCACCCTCTTGACCCAGGGCAGCACAACCTTCTCAAGGCACTTGATGTAGGCCTTCATGCTGAGTTTGAGGCCCTGTGGTAAGATGAATGGAGGCATAATGTCGACATTACTAGTGATCACTCCAAACACCTTAATCCCCATTAGACTCATCCAACTCTTTCTGAATCCTCTGCACTGTCCTCAGACTGACACACAAACACTCTAAAATGTTCATATTGGAGCTTCTGGCATGAATGCCAAACAGTACAGATTGCCGTTTCCAAATTTCTGGTGGAGTTAATTGAATTGGTCTTTTTGAGTGAATTGGTGGTCTTTTTCTCACAGTCACTGCCCAACTGACACTACTATAAAGTGCAGTTGACAAAATCAAAAACAAACAATACACATGTGCAAAATTCAAAATATAAAATGTTGACAATTTACCCATCACACCCTGAATAAAAAATATTGCTGCATTGAAAAGAAATTTATTATTCAGTTATAGTTTTGGGTATAAGTCAGCAAATATAGACACTGAAAGGGTCCCAAGGAGAGACTTACATTTTTTGAAATGATAACTGTGCATTGACTTGATGTAAGGGCCTCCATAGCTAAAATGGTAGCAGCACAATTATAATAGGATAGTACTAAGAAATATTATTAGTTTTATTATATTATTAATCAGTTATATGCAATCATACTGGAATTTGTCAAAATTAAACACCATACACATACACACAAAGCATATAGACACAAACATAATTTTCTTACTTGTAAATTACAAACAATATTAGTGACTCCTGGCAGAGTTTCTGTGTTACATATTTCAAAACCTTCAGGTGCAGTGAAATCATCTAATATCAAAGAGACAGTCTCATCTTTAGCATCGTCAACCTGAAATACAAATACAAAAATATTTAACATGCATGATGTGATGAGAAAAATGGAAGATGTGAGCAATAAGAACATTTTAAGAATAGGAATTACAAGGAAATTGTGGCTAACAATCAGCAGAAAGAGACAGTTGGAATTTCTGGGATGCATAATATTAGTGGTGAAGCACCCTGGATCAAATGGTGGTTTCTCCTGCATGGGGGACGTAGTTTTAATTTCTGCCAGAGAGCACATTTTCTTTGTCAAGTGCTCTCAAATATGCTGACACATAAAGACCAAATCTAAAGAATTAATGGAGATATATATATATGTGTGTGTAAAAATATATAGACAATGGGAAAGAACTCGTTAGGTAAATAATCCAAAGTTCTTTAGCATTTTTGTTATTATTTTTTAAAAATAGTGCTCGATACAAAAGTAGAGCATAAATATAATTATTTATTTAAAAATATGATTCCAACGCTACATAAGAGTTCTCATGTTTCAAAACAAGAGCCGAAAACTTCAATATAATTATTTGAATTAAATTGAATGAAAGTACCAAGCTCTGTTCCATCTTTAAGCGAATTTTTTTTTGAATAACTAATTACTGAAATTTATGCATTTTATAAGCATATTCATTATTAAAATTAAAATTACTATAGTAACGGCTAGAGCAATTATTTAAAGAAAAGGGGCGTAAGGGTTAATAATTTGTATCAATATCTCAGTTACATTCACAGACGTCAAGTCAGGGTAAGGTGGGGGGTGTCTAAATTTAAAGCAGAAGATGACATCGTCTAGTTTGGTTAAGTGTCTATGGAGATTTATTTATTTTTTATTTTATTTTTTAAATTTCTAATCAACTAATCATGTGCAAGTAATTTAAATGAGTACAGGCATTTAAACAAGGTCATGACAACCTCCTAAATTACATTTAATGCATTAGTATAGGAAAGAAAGGTGACTGCTGTGACTTTGAATGTAGCATGGTTGTTGGTGCCAGACAGGCAAGTTTGAATATTTAAAAAAATCTTCTGACCTACTGGGATTTTCATTTACAACCATTTCTAGAGTTTACAGAGTATGTTCAAAAAAAAAAAAAAAATTCCAGTAAGTGGTAATTTTGTGGGCAGGAATCTCTTGCTGTTGAAAGAGGTTGGAGAAGTTTGGCCAGACTGGTTCAAGTTGATAAAAAGGGAATGATATTGGTAATATTAGCTATTTCCCTATAAGGAAACATTCGGCATTCATTCATCAAGCAGCCAGTACTGTTTACATTTGAAATTTATAAAATCTTTGTCTGAAAACGAGTTTCTCAAGTCCAGTACTGATGGGAATTTCCATCCTAACCTTTTATTTGAAGTGGTATGAAAGGTTAATATCTTTATTATATCATTATTTTTTCTTTGAATTATATCTGCTATCCATTTAAGTTGTTGTTGCTGTTGGTAGTCCACAAGTGATGTGGTTTCTGTTATTTGCTACAGTTCTTTGTGATTCTGTAGCATCAGTCCACAATGTTTAAAGAAGGATGATCTTTGCCAAGACCCTCAAGGCTTTACTTGCTCAAAACCTTTTTTCTCCATTGATCTTAGGAAGTGGTTGCATACAGCTGACAGTTTAGATATTTCTGAACAGGTTTAGCACTATGCATGACATCCATATGAAAATCTGAGGAGGCTATTTAAGAACATGATTTGAATTTTCAGGTTGATGTTTTGGCTCCATATCAATTTGCAATTTTGAGCAAAACTACCTCTGGCACAGCCTATTCTAAGTTCAATTTCTTTTTCTCCTATACTTAATTTGTTATAACTGATCTATGCACCATACACCAATGGCTGCTCAAATAACCTCTCTTTACAATAGAGGTGTACAGAAGCACATTTCTGAATGCACAACATATTAAACCTTGCAGCTGAGCTACAGCAGCCTAAGAGTATGCCAGGTGAAACTCCTGTCAGATAAGAACAAGAAACCAGTTGTTAAGGATCATAGAAATTGGACAATAGAAGACTGGAAAAATTTTGCCTGGTTTGATGCGTCTCAATTTGTGCTGACATATTTGGATGGTTGATTGACTGATTTGTTTAATGGCATATCAACTCCTTACTTAATACAAAAATTTAATTTTCTTAGGCAGTTTGAAGTAATAAAAATATATGTTATTCTGCTTTCACAATTGAACACATGGTAGATGATACTCAGCTTTTTGTGAGGTTGCTGTTGCCTGAAAATCAAAAAAAAATAGCAGGCAGAGATTTGGGTGGCCCAAAAATTAAAAAAGGTGGACTGAGGTTTGGGTTGTCTTAGCCTTAAAAAAAGTAGACAGAAGTTTGGGTTGCATGAGAGTCAAAAAAGGCAGGCAGAGATTTGGGTGTCAAAAAAGATGGACAGAGGTTTAGGCTGCATGAGAATCAAAAAAAAAGTGGACAGAGGTTTGGGTTGCACTAGATTGAAATAAAGTGAACAGGTTTAGGCTGCACAGCAGTCAAAATGTAAACATAGGTACAGTAAAGAGGTGGGTAGTGTAGTTTACATCATTGTATATAAATGCAGTCAGTGTATTCTTGACCCTAACTGAATTTTGGTTGCATATAATTGAAGGCAATGGAAACAATAATTTAAAAAAAAAAAAAAAGTTATAATCTTACTTCTAACACAAATGTATCCTTGTTCCCAAATGAAAGCTCAATGTCACCTTGATCATCATCACTATCATCTGTGTTGTTGCCACCACCAATTCGGGAGCCAAATTGGGTTTGAACAATTTCCTGATAAAATAGACAAGAAAAAAAAAAAAAGGAAATAAAAGAAAACCAGACATTGAACTGAAAGCATTTAAACTGTTTGAACACAAAGATTAAAAAAAATAAATAGGTAAAACAAAAAAAGTTAAAAGCAAAATAATTTTGAGGTCTTTGTCATAGATGAATTCCCAACCAATTACTTGGCTAATGCAAGATGATCAAATTTCAAATCTAAATTTTAGTGTTTTAAATTGACAAACATTCATTAGAAAATATATTGTTTAAATACAGACCGAGTCATAAAAAACAACTTCAAAAGTCTATACTCTCTTCCTGCTAGTCAGTGGTTAGCCCTCAAGATACTGTGCATGTGTGTGTGCATATATGCTTGTGTCTACACTATATTTATTTATATTGCATTGAATATTGCTGTCGCATCTGGTCTGGTACTTCTGTTATGTATTTAGAGATTCTTGATAAAATACATGGTGCAACAAAAATATCTCTTACATAATGGTAAGACATTAACTAGATGAAGATACCCCCTGCCACCAATGTCTTACCATTATGTGCAAGATATTTTTGTTGCAAAGAAGAATTTGCAATGTTATTGAGATTGTCCTGGTACCTTGGCCTCAGTCAATTTCCCACCACCATAACATAGATTTCCTGTGCCTTTTCTGTATATATTTTCATGGTAATTGTTCTGATGAATTTTACACTGTTGTACCTTGACATTATGAATTTAAGTGTAGTACTAGATTGGTGCCACGATCTCATCATTTTACAGCTGGAATGGTTAGAAGTAAATCTAAGTTCTATGCTAACAGTTTCTTTTCTCACACCTCTCATTTGTGGATCTCTCATCTGTCTTCTTGCTTCCCAGTCAACTTTGATCTTCAAATATTTAAATGTAATGTCAATTGTTATTTTCTGTCTTCTTAATTCCTGTTTTTTATTGTTTCTCTCCTTAATAATGTTTTTCTTTTTCTCATATTCTCTTACACTCAGTAACCCCTTGCATCTTAGAAATTTTATTGCCTTGCTTGGTGTGAAATGGAAAAAAAGAAAAAAAGTGGTACAAGTACATGTAAATTATTCACACACAACACAGACATAATTTCTATGTAAAATTTGTCTTATGTTAATATTATTTACAAGATGGTGTGGTGCATGTGTGGCCAATGTAAGAATCTGATGTTTTTTAGTGTTGAAGGTACAATCTCCCAAAGGACTTAATAAATAATGTTCTTTATGAATTCTTGTGTTTTTGGAAGATTGTATCTCCAACACTAACAATCAATGAACAACATTAAATTTTTACATTGGCCACACATACACCATACCATCTTGTGTATATATATATATATATATATATATATGGAAAAAAATGGAAAATATAAGCAGTAAATTGCTGATACCCCCTGAAGATCAAGTGACAAACTTACTCATATTAATCCTATATTTTTATATATATATATATATATATATATATTATATAGTGTGCGTGCATGTGTGGAGGAATGATGTATATCAAAGTGGAAAAAGTTTTCATCTGACGTCTTTCATTAGACAGCCTATAAAATTTTGGGGGTGTTGTGGGGATAGCAAAGACGCTAAAAAGAATCTAAATGAAATTGATTAGATTATATACCCAAAACACATGACAAAAAAAAAAAAAAATTTTCTAAATTTAAAATTCCCAACATCTCTTCTTTATGTGCATGTGTAGTCATATCAACGTAATCAAAAACAAGTCTGAAGAAGTTCTTTTTCCACTTTGTCATACATCTTTCCTGCAAAACTGTTCTTGATATATAAAAATTTATATATTATTATATATATATATATATATATATAAAGTGAAAGGTGGTCCATCAGTGCTCCTTATATGTCCATTAAATAGGCCAGTTCATGAAATTTGAAGGATAAAAAGCCAACAAAATGATACAAATATTCTCAATAAAAGTGATATTTATTACATATTAACCTTTTGACTGAAACAAAGAAAAAAAGAGATCAATTTTAAAGTTGGAATTTTCAAATGAGCCTGTGTTCTTTATCAACAATGTGAGGAATAAACAGACAAAGAGAATAAACAAAGAGTAAGTTCCACTTCTTTGTTTATTCCTCACATCATTATGAAAGAACACAATTGACAATACTGGTATCATTTTGTTGGCTTTTTATCCTTCAAATTTTATTAATCGGCCTATTTAATCTACATACTATAAGGAATACACATGAACCACCTTTCATTATATATATATATATATATATATATATAATATTATTATTTAAAAATATGTTTTGACATAAAAAAATCGCATATTAAAAGGATCAAACTAGGATTTGGGTTTTGGAGCTCTGTAACCAACAACAACATTCCTTGAAAGAGGAAGTTCCACTTCTTTGTTTATTCTTCACATCATTGTAAAAGTACACAGGCATGTTCGAAAATTCTGAATTTAAAATTTATCTCTTTGTGCTTTGTTTCAGTCAAAAGGTTAACATGTAATAAATATCAATTTTATTGAGAATATTAGTATCATTTTGTTGGCTTTTTATCCTTCAAATTTCATTAACTGGCCTATTTTATTTATATATATATATATATATATATATATATATATATATATATATATATATATGTATTAACTTCATGCTGTTCTTTCAGCCTTTGTACAGCAGTTGTTAGTCGTTGTTGCAACATCTCTAAATCTGTATTGTCTGTAGCAGTCATTACCTGCAAAAGAGGTAAAAAAAAAAGTCAAATAAAATAAATGAGAATGTATTTTCACTAATTTTGAGAAGAGTCATTAACATACCCAATGTTGTTCAGACACTCAAATTTCTTCTTTGTACAGATATAAACTCTTTGTCACTTGAGAGTCATTAATATATCCAACATTGTCAAATGCCTAAATCTCTTCTTTGCATATATGTTGTAACCTAGAATAGTCAAATGAAGGTTGGTAATGAACAATAATACTTAGGATAAGAACAACACACATAACATTCGCCACCGGTGCGTAGAAGAAGTAGTCAACTGCTAGAAATGAGTCAAGTGAATTCCACAATGAATCACCAACTGCTGACCAATATACAGTATTTACTACTGTATTTATGTGAATGGGGACATACCCATTATCATCCATAGGTATGCTACAACTATATATATATATATATATATATATATATTCTTTGTCTATAACTTGGAGAAGGATCATTAATATATTCAACATTTTTGGGACACTTGAATCTCTTGTATAGCATAACTGCTGTTGTTAACATTTGGGCTGATCTGTTTCACAGATTTGAGTGTCCAAACCATTGTGTGTGTGTGTGTGTGTGTGTGTGTGTGTGTGTGTGTATATAGAACTTTAAATACAGTCTACCATCTTTCCTCTACTTCACTTGGAACATACACTTGAAGCAAAAGAGAGAGAATAGACTTTCATAATAAAATTCTATCTTCAATATTTTTGCCCATTTGGAACCTCTCTTTTGTTGTGTTTGCATCCCAGATTAGAGAAAGACAAAGTGTTAGCTATGTTCAATATTCAGAACATTGGGAAAATAAACACAGAAAAAATAAACAAAAACTGACAGTAATCAAACTATGAAATAAAATTTAAATGTGAGCATTTTAGTATTGGAGATAAGGAAATTGGACATAGACTGCACCAGAGGTAATTTTGCCCAGCACTGCAAATTGCTACAAAACTAAAACATCAACCTGAAAACTCAAATCATGTTCTTAAATAGCCTCATCAGATCAATACATTCATGTAGATGTCATGCATGGCATGAAACTCATTCAGAAATATCTAAACTGTTAGCTGTATACAACCACTTTCTTAGATTGATGCTTAAAAATAGATTTGAACAAGTGAAGCCTGAGGGCCTTGGCCAATATTACCATTACTTAACTCTTCTCATATGATTTTTATTTTTAACCACATGACTGAAAAATTCATGCACTGAATAATGAAAGAATAAAAATTAGATTTCACAAAAGATACAAAGTATTTACCACAAACAGAAAGGCATGACAGCATGAGAGTCAAGTAGAGAAAGAATAGCTTACCTGACCAGAAATACGTGGTATTGATGGAGCTGGCAGAGGACTAAGAAAGGCAGCAGTTGCAGTCTGCATTAGAAATGAAAAAGAAATTAAGAAAAAATTATTATTTAATTAATTTCTTTCATGTTTTTGAAACCTCCTGAGAAGTAGACTGAATGATTACAAAAAGATTCATCTATGAAACTCGGGAGTCAGGGTGTTGAATATAACATCAATCTGCTAAGTAACATATATTTGCATTAATCATGTGTGTGTGTGTGTGTGTGTGTGTATGTATGTATATATATATATATATATTGGGCAGCATTTAAGCTAGCTCCTACAGAGGGCTCTTGATTAGGCTTTAATCACGACGTGACACTATTTGGCACTGGTAAATGGAAAGCAAGGGTTAATGAATAGAACGATGGACAGACCAAGAGAAAGAATGAAGATTTCTCTTTGCAAAAAAAAAAAAGTCTAATTCTCTAAGACCAGAAAAATTAGTTAAGGAAAGGCAATATTGCCACAAGAAGTCATGTGGCAAATTTTAAGTTGACAACAGATTAATGACCCAGTTCCAAAGTACCGGTTACGAAAACACAAAATAATTAAGAATGATAAGATTTGATCCCTAACCAAAACTAGAGAATAGAGTTTCCTTGTGGTTGGAGTGCAATGACCCTGACAGGGTTGGAGGAATGGTTGACTGGAGAACCATCTGGTAAATATCTGATTTTGGACAAGGCCAGGATGGGAAAATTTTGTGCCAGCAAAATTTGAAATGATAATTTTTTAATTAATGACCGTAAGTTAAGCCACATCAAGCAGAGGGGTAGCATTTATTTTTATTTAAGTTATTTTTTTTTCTCACTTGCATCTTCACTGCCTGGACCAACCCAATATGACGATTCCCTATGATGATTTGATCTTTGACAGCCTTATAATCAAAACTAAACACAACGTGGGATAAGGCAAGGTTTGGATCAACTCATTGATCAGCCATGGGAGTTGGACGTTCGGATGAGGAGGAGGTAACAGCAATAGGCATCTACTACTCCCTACCTACAGAAGAACTCAAAATTGATCACTGGATTTAAGTATTGCCTTAATATTTAAGCTCACCTTTTAAAAGTTCAATGATAATTCTTCTGCCGTAACTTAATTTAAAGACAATTTCATGTATGTAGGTCCTTACTTTCCATACAAACAATTATTTTTATTTCATGGGTGACGTTCACTGGATTTTGTAATTAATTTTGATTATTCCAAATTTATTTGCAAGTTATAAAAATTGTTATCATACAAAAAAAAAAAAAAAAAAAATTGTCACAAAAAATGACTTAAAAAAAAATTGCCAAAAACAACACTGCAGTAATGAAAACTTGGGAATCCAAAATTTTAGGATTGCAGGTCTGTATCCGGCCTGTAATGTGTTTAATTTGCTCAGAGTCAGCCTGATTCCAAAATGGTATATGTTGGGCCTCTAGGAGTAAAGTGGAAAAAGTGTGACACAGTGACATGCTGACATTGGCATTTATTATACAGAAGATGAGCTAATGAGAGTTGTGTCCCTTTAATTGAAAAAGTGTGACACACTGACATTTATTATTTTATATATATATATATATATATATATATATATATATGGGGAAAATGTATGACAAAATGAAAAAATTTTTCTTGTGACGTGTTATGTTCTTTAGGACTTTAGACTAAATTTGTTATGGTGGTGTAAAATATATGCACATGAATGAGGAATGTTGAGAATTTTAAATTTTATTGTATTTTTTAAAAATACAATCTTTTTCTTTTTTTTTCCCATCACTTTTGTTATTAGACATCCCATATAGTGTTAACAGAAGATCTACCAGAATGGTGAAATGTTGCAAGAGCCAAGGCACAAATTTACTGTGGATAACCTTGCAATCAAGGCATTCTCTAAACATTTTCATCATACTGAATTATTTTCTCCTTTGATCAGAATAGAATTTTTATATTAAAATTGTGGTCATAATTATTATGCATGTGTTGTTGCACTGATGTAACAAATTGAGTCCAATGAAGCCCTAAAGAACAAAACGCATCACTTTTTCTAATTTGTCATACATTTTTCTCCAATATTGTTTTTGATATATGTGTGTGTGTGTGTGTGTGTATATATATATATATATAGAGGAGGCACGGTGGAGTAATGTATAGCGGCTTGGATTGAGGAATTGGAGAGCCGAGTTCAAATTCCAGCCGAATCCATTACATTCACTTACGTGCCAATACCCTTGGGAAAGGTATGAATCTTTTTCTCCCTCCAGCTATCGGTAAATAGCAGGACAGACTGGGTTCTATAGACTTGGATGGCAGCTGGTCTAGGAGAAAGACAACTTTGAGTTCAAAACTTGCAGAGGGTGCTTTGAGGACCTTCTGGCATGTAACACACTAGATCTCCGTATTCGACCCTTCAAAAAGTGTGGATGGTTTTGCACAAAACCTTCACCACTATAATCAAATCTCATGTGCTGGTGTCAGGCTGTTGGTTCCTAGGAACTGATCTGCTTAACCCTCATATGTTGAATTCGACAGGAGAGTCGAATATATATATATATATATATATATATATATTTTCAATCAGTCAAGAAATGTTTAATTGTCTTATCTGACTGACTGACTCAAAAGTTTAATGCTGAAGCACTCATCAGGGCTAGATAAGCATTTCAATGTGAAAATTTTGAATTGGTTAATCCAATGAGTCAATGAAAATTTTCTTGATTTATTGAATACTATAGCTCTAGATATATATTGATTTCTTTTGGGCTAATTCTGCTAGCCTGAAAAAGACATTAAATTCTCAGATTTTCACATAATTTTTAGTTGTATTATATATATATATATATATATATATATATATATATATATATATATATATATATATATGTATGTATGTATGTATGTACACACACAATTTCAAGATATTTTTTTGGTAAATATATCTGTTAAAATGAGATGTCAGTGTTTTTTCATTTTTGCATAATTTAGACAATTTATCCATCACACCCTGTAAATGATGATCAGGCATATATATATATATATATATATACATACACATACATATATAAATAATAATATCAAATCCATAAGTGGAAAGGATGATCCAAGTAGGTCTTTTTAATATAAAATATTAAAAAGATGGATCCATAAAGAGAGCTCAATGGATAGTATACAGTGCAATATGAGATACATCAAGGAAAAACTTAACACATCATCAAAAACGCAGTTATACATTATAATTTATTTCAATGGTTAAGTTTTTAACACCCGTCTCATCAGACTGAAATTACAAATGATTTAAATTTACCCAGAATCATCATTTTTTTTTAAAATAAAAAAAAACAAAAAAACAATAATAGGAAATCTAGACACTTAACCTAGAGAATCTATTTTCTGGGGATTTATAATATTGAAGACATACGTGGGGGAGGAGGGGTTGTTAGCTTTCAACCTGATTTTCATGTGTGGTGGTTGTGAGAACATTGTAACAGCTAAAATAAAAACACCCACATATATGCATACATATACACATATAAAAATTAATCAATCTAACATGTTTCACTTTTATTAAAACTTATTAAAAATTTTATTATCAGAGACTGACATATGGAGAAAAAGAAATTCTGGTATGTTTTACTTTTGTGTTGTTTGATTTTCATTGGTCAATCATGTATCATGTGTATTCAACTCTTTTAAACCAATGTTAGTAAATTTGTGGCATTCCAAATTCAATGAGAGATGAGACATCCATCCAAAATTTCAAGAAATTAACATGAAAAACTAATTATTTAGGAAGTATTATGTTCTTTTCGGTTTATGTTAATATTTCTCATAGCTTGCCTAATTTGTTCATCAACAATGTAATTAGCAAAGTCATTATTAATGAGAGTTGTTTAATGTTTTTTAATTCTGTGTTGACAATTTTTTTTAGTGGAAGAATTAACTTTTGCATAGTTTATTTAATTTTGTATAATTCCTGTTTTGCAATAGTCAGGACATTCACTTTTATAGTTGAAAGTGCATGTGTTTATGCTAATTAGTTTTTATATAGGGAGGTAGTAAGTGTATTATTATTGATGTTTATCAGTATATTAAGAAAAGGAATTTTGTTGTTATTGTTAAGGGAACTTAAGAACAGAGTTTTTTTTGGAAGTTATTTTGTAGGTCATGTATTTTGCCTTTTTTTTTACCAAAAAGACGAATATCATCTATATATCTTAGGTAGATGGAGAGTTTTAGTAGTATTAAATATCTTATTTTCAAGGTTAGCCATGTAAAAGATACTAAATGCTGGTCCTAGAACTGAACCCATGGAAATGCCATCACGCTGTATGTATATAATAATTTTGATTGTCATAGAAGGGAATCTCAGTAGTACACATCAAGTATAGTTTCCATAATATGCTAGATTTAATTTTGAATCGAGGGAAAGATAATTTGTTGTAAATATTCTTTATAATTATATCAATCATTTCTCTAACTGGGAAATTGGTAAATAAACTTTCAACATCAAGTGAGGCTATGTCTAGATTATTCAACCAGACATGCTTTGATGAAAATATGCTTTATATAAAAATCATATCAGTTGATTCCGCTACCTTGGTTTCAACCTTACAGTATCCTCAGGTGGTTTTTATCAAATGACTTCTTAATGCTTTAGTTTTTTAAAAAAAAAACAATGAATACTATATTATTCTTTTTTTTTAAATAAATAAACAAATGCATGATGCTGGGTGTAATAGAAAGAGGGGGGGAGAAGGATGTGAAGAAGGAAGAAGAAGAGGGAAGAGAAGAAAAGCAACAGTTGTGTGGATTAATTGAAATGTACATTATCTTTATCATCCAGCCAAATATGTGCTTAAGAGGATTTTCTTAAGATGTATGCAAGAACTCAAGACTTGGATTTATGGTTCAAAAAGGTTCTTTGGATCTACTTTATATATATATATATATATATATATATATATATATATATATATATATAAAATATATATATATATAATAAATAACAACACCAATAGTACTTCTAACAACAACACCACAAAATTCATAGTTCTACCCTCTAACACAATTTCTACTAAACTTGTACATAAATCTGTTATCCCTAATACTAAGATTTTTACCATGTTGTCCAAATCAGTTGGAGATATAATTAGGAAGAAAAATAAATCCAGCACCAATTCAGATGCTGGTACTTATCAAAAGAATTTATGTTGGACAGACATCACAGGATCTAAAAGCCTGTATCTATGAACATAAAAGAGATTTATAGTTAGAAAACTATTCAAACTCTCTCATAATACACACGAACAAAACTGGCCATAACTTTGATTTAATAATGCCACCCTAATGAAAAAGAATATCATTTTTACAAAGAAAGTACTTCAAGGGCCTCCTAATAACAACTATAAACACTAGTCAAAAACATTATATTACATTGCCAACCTTTATTGAATCCATTCTTAAAGAATCTAACATACATTTATCTAAAACAAACAGTATGTATGCAAAAATGTTCTTGAATCAACATGTAATCAGTAAACATAATACCTAGTAGACATATGCACGTACACACACACACTCACAAATGTACATTATCATCTGAATCCCACATAGACAAACTATTATACACTTACATATTGTAATCTTGTACAAAAATGAAAGAAATGGTAATTAAAGAAGTACTTACAGCAATTCCAGCCAGCATTGTTTCCCCAATCGTAATATGAACCACCAATCCAAAAAGACCATTCATACCTCGCATCTATAGCAGCATGTTGAAAAAGAACAGTAAAGTTTAGCAAAGCAATATTTACAGCAATATTTTTCTAGAAATGGCAAACTACATTTCTGTGACATAATAGTTCCCTCCCCCATGACTGGCTTAGAACACACACAAAGACAATTGGGCCCTATCTGTGTTGAAAGTATATTGTGTTTTTATGACTAGCAGTAAAGTCTGTGAAATGGGATCTTCAAAGCAGCCACCCACTTAACCAAAAAGGAATCAATAAATAATTGAAAACTTTTGGGAACAAGTGACACTTGACCAGATGTTAGAAATTTCTATTCACAGGTTCCCTCGATCTTTTGAACAGCAGTGGAGGTTTATCGCTTGTTTCCTGTTTGGGATTGGGTTTGTGGTACTCTCTAAAGTCTTTTCCTTCTTTTTCACTTCTGGTGGCCCCTTGTGGCTTGGTAGCATTATCACCTTGCTTCGGTGGGGTCACTTACTCTGTAACCCTCTATCTCCAGTGACTGTTGGGCCTGGTACAGGGTGAACACCATTGTAAAAATAAAATTACAGAATTTGAAGTACTTCTGAGCCACCTGTTGGTAAAGTACAGGCTTCCTGTCAGATAGAGTTCTAATGTTTTAGAATGTTTCCTAGTTTTAATGCACATTGATGTGAATGACAGTTGAGACATAACATTAAGGTGAATTGGAGAGTTGAGTTAAAAGGGAGATAACTGGTACTAAGACATCTGGAAGAGGCATCATATGTGGAACTAGAACAATCTACCCTGGTGGATGAAATAAAATGTTCAGTTCCAATCACTTGAAGAAGGCCAGAGTGTACAACAGCTGGAATATCATGGATATGACAATGAAGATAAGGACAATAGTCTGAATATGTAAATAGTGTAAATGAGAAACCATTTATCTGCTTATATTTCTAAGATGCAGTATTGTAATTATTTAGATTGTTTGGACTGTTGTCCTCATCTTTATTGTCATGTTCACAACATTTAAATAATGTAAATGAGAAACTATTTGTTAGTAATAAATTTTTATGGAGAATAATGAATTCCTAGTTTCTAAGAAACATTTACTAAAATCTTAAAGATCAATATTAAGAAATAGTATTCCAATCCATAATGTTAAAGCAACTGACACAAATTATTGGACCAGATGAACAAAAGTAATTTTGAATACTTACTTTTAATTTATTTATCAGCTGATTATGGAGTTCATATTCCATAAATGGTAAACACTAAAAAGAAAATAAAAAATAAAAAAAATATTCAGGAATGAATGATCATTATAAAACTACAAGTGTTTGATAAATAGCATTAAAATTGTTTTATGAGAGTTTACAGACACATTAGCAAGATTTCAAGCTTAAAATAAAAAATATTTTTCAAAATATTTTAAAGTGTAAAAATTAATTCCTATAAATAAAGCTCATTTTTCTTTAAGTAAATCATTCAAATATAAATTCAGTTTACTACAGAAATGAAATCTTTATTCTGATACAAAAAAATTACATAGAATTCTTACATCACTAATTTCTTTGGCACAAGCTTCTCCTTTCCCGTCTTTTTTTGTTCGATATATCCTGAAAAAAGATAAAATCAAAAACAATTATTATCATTGAGAGAGAAAAATATTATTATCGCTAAGAAAGAGAATTATAATCATCATAGAGAAAAAGAATTATTATTATCTTTGAGAGAGAATTTTTATCTTTGAGAGAGAGAATTTTTATCTTTGAGAAAAACAATTATATATTTATTTTTATCTTTGAGAAAAAGAATTATTATTATTATTATTATCACTGAGAAAGAGATTTGTCATCATCATTACTGGAACTTGGTTCTCCAATTTCCAATTCCAAGCTGTTATTCATTACACCATCTGCACATCCAAGCTCACAACACTTGGTATTCCTAAGCAGTCACCCACCTACAAAGGGACCTATGTGCAACTTACTGACTACCAGAGAGAATGAAATCTGACTTGGAACCCCTCTGAATAAAATACCAAATTACTGAAAATCAGATTGGTGTCATTTCTTACTGTGCCAATGATTTCATCTTCTATCCTATGTGAATGTGCAGTGGACCTTTCCCAGTATTTGTGCACACCTCAGAGAATGGAAAGTGAGACACAATGTGCAGACTCATCTGTCCATTAAGTGAAAAACTCAGAGACAAAGTTGTATGTTTACAGAGCATTAAAATTATTTGCCATTAGCATATTTTTAATATTAGACTCACCTTGCTTGAATTAGAGTACCTTTACCTAAAGTCTGAATTTCCTCTGGTGGGTTGATGGTTGTAAAAAGAACATCTGGAACTGGCTGCTTGCTGTGAATATCACAAAAAAATTGAAATGTATCAAATCAAATAAAAAGAAGCCTTCTTTTTACCCACTGAAGAATCTCAAGCAGAATTGTGCATGAGCACCAATAATTTAATTTTCAAATTTCTATTGACTACAAATAAGGGGGAGCTGAAAAGTTCCCAGCCTTACCAAGAAACACTTTCCAAAGTTATTCTAATGTTTGGTTAGATTTTGGGAAGTGTGATGGTCTATATGAGCCATGATTTTTTCACCTCCCAGCATCATCATCACCACCACCACTCTGTATATGTGTGAGTTTGTGTTTCTAAACTTTTACAGTATTTATATGGTTGTTGTAAAAGTCAATTTTCATTATTTAAAAAAATCATCTTTAAACTATATTAAAAAAGAAGAGCCTGATTTTCTATTCATCACACTCCATCTGATTTTGCATGCATGTGCATAAGGGTGGGGGGAAGACAAGGATTAAAAGCAAAAGATTATCATTTTCTTTTTTTTTTCCTCCTATTTTTAATGGAATGAAAATTTGAATCCTCCTGTGATCCTGCAGCAGGCAAGATCACAGCAGAACCAAATGAAACTCTAGCCAGAAAAAAAAACATTCAAAATAAAATGGAACTCTAGCCAGGAAAAAAAAAATTTAGTTAATTTAAAAAGCATCTACTTACTGACATATTGCACAGGTGCCAAGAGTAACTTTAAACGGCATAGTAACACTTTTATAAGGAATGTGGCAAACTGCACAGTTTACTGGTGTATAGCCATCTTCAATACTGAAATTTAATATAAAAATTATATCAGAGATATAAACGCTTAATGATTTTCTTTTATATATAAGGCAATATAAAAATTCAATATTTCAAAATTAGGTTTTATATGTGTGTGTGTGTGTGTGTGTGTGTGAGTTGTGATCAAATATGAATTGGGATCTGGCTAAGATAAAGAACAAATAGGAAAAGCTTACCAATCTAACGTTTCACTTTTATTAAAGCTTTATCAGAGTCTCTGAGTGGAGAAAAAGAAAGAAATTCTGGTATTTTTACTTTTGTCTTGTCTGATTTTCATTGGTCAGTCATGTATCACATGCATTTGACTCTTTTAAATCAATGTTAGTATAATTTGTGGTGTACTGAATTCAAGGGCAGGTGATATGTCCATCCAAAATGTCAGATTGATAAATGTTTCCTATTTGTTCTTTATCTTTTATATATATATATATATATATGAAGAAAAATATACCGAAAAAGAAAACAAAAATCTTAATATGCAATTATGCTGTATTAATGTTAATATAAAGTCAACGTCGGACGTTTCGGTCTATTTTAGACCATCTTCAGGACAATTTAATTAAACATAATTAACATTAGAACATATAAAATTCAACATGAAAAGACGATGGACATAAGAGCACAACTAATCCAAACAGATAACTGAAATTTTTATATAAGATCAGCGTTCGTTTAAATATGATCACGTCGTGCGTCCACGTTAGCAATGTTGTGAAAACATATTCAAAGATGATTTCCAAATATTAAAAAAGTCGATTGAACTATTTTATATAAACAGTTCAAGAAATCCCTTCCGTTGATATAGGAATACGCAGAGATCAATAGGTTCTTATATCTTCATATAAGCTTGAAGTCCTCCACGTTACAAAGCAAATTAAAAATGATTTTAAAATATCAGAACGATGGAACAATTTTAAAAACAGTTCGATAATAAATCCTTTCCTTACTTGATCAATATATATATATATATATATATATATATATATATATAATGTTTATATAAAATAGTTCAATCAACTTTTTTAATATCTTAATATTTGGAAATCATCTTCAAATACGTTTTCACAACATCGCCCACATGATGACGATGTGATCATATTTAAACGGAATGCTGATCTTATATAAAAATTTCAGTTATCTGTTTGGATTAGTTGTGCTCTTATGTCCATCGTCTTTTCATGTTGAATTTTATATGTTCTAATGTTAATTATGTTTAATGAAATTGTCCTGAAGATGGTCTAAAATAGACCGAAACGTCCGACGTTGACTTTATATTAACATTAATACAGCATAATTGCATATTAAGATTTTTGTTTGTTTTTTCTATATATTTTTCTTCATATTGTCGGATCTATATCCATATATTTGCTTACATATATATATATATATATATATTATATACATGCTAGGTGAAATGCTTAATTTCTATGAATGATGTAGAAGCATTTGGTAAGGAAGGAGATTATGTTAAAAATATTTGTAGCATTAAATTAATGTTTTTTCCTCATTGGGCTATGGACTTAGTGATGCAACTACATATATACATAAATATATATTGTTGTATAGTAAAATTCTATTGTTGATGCTTTATAAGCTGTGGTGCTGTTGAGTTTTGTTAATTGAAACCTGCTTCCAGCAATATGTACATATGTAAGTAAATGCTTGTAACACAGATATCCAGTTGCATATTTTCCTTTTTGACTAAAATAGATTCATTGCAAAATATGGAATTATAACAATATTTTTCATTCATTCATATATATATATATATATATATATAAACAAGTATTTAGTGTTGAAAATATTCATTATGAAAACAACAACAAATTCCATGAAATCATTCTAATTTGAAATTGCTATCAGTAACTAATTAATAAATGTAATTGTCTTCAATATGCCCATAAACTTTACAATGATGTATACTGTATATATTATTATGTATACTTACCTGTTTTGTGCTAACTGGTTAGCTAGATTCACATCAACAAACAACTTTTCCTTTTCAACAGGAACTCGGTCACCAACTTGTACTTGTGTTGGTTGAGGAATTTCTTTATGAGTACCAATTGGCAGAAGCACATCTAGATTACTATTCACAACTGCAGCTGTGCCAATGGCTGATAAAATAATTACTTCATCACTGATAGATTTCAAGAACAGTGCATAGAAGAGAATAAAGAAAAAAAGAAAATAGAAAAATGTTAATCATCTTGATGTAACACGATCAAAATAAACTTCATTTCTAATGATACACCAATAACAATTTCCATTGTCATTACTGTTTATATATCATTTCCAATTATGAATCATTTCCATTTATGTATAGTTTCCAGTTATAAATCATTTCCATCGTCATTTCAAATTATGAATCAGTTCCATTGTCATTATCATTTATATATCATTTTTAATAATATATTGTTTCAATTCCAATAATATATTATTTCCATCATCATTTCCAATTATATATCATTTTGTTTTCCAATATCATTATCATTTATATATCATTTCCAATTATATATGCTAATAATAATTTGAGGTACCAAGTCATTATTCATAATACAAACAGAACCCTTTTTAAATTTATTATGACACCACCAATATTTTAACAACTTATGGTTTTGGTATTTTTTTTAGCCCAGACAAAACTGATAGAAAACATCTGAAATTCAAGTGATTATCATATTAGTCTATGCAGTATTGAATAGCAGCCAATATAAATCCAAACTAAAGGTGGAACTGTTTGAAAACAGATTAAATGATCAATGGCTGGATTGTTATATCACATTATGAAATTTGTATTTACTTGGACTCGGTAAAAGCATCAACATGGCAAGTCTTTGGAATTAAAGGAAATCGAAAATGGGTTTTGTATTGCATTTCATTTTGAAGCCATCATTATATTATTCTTTTACATTTGGATGTGCACCTGATGTAATAGCAGCTCAGAATGATTGATTAGTTCATTCATTCATTTTTATGGCTTATCAACCTATTTCAAGTTATTTAAGGCTAGAAAATATTTTTTAGATTGTAAGAATTTTCTTTTGGAGATAATAATGGTTTAGTGATACAAGTTTTACTAATTAACCCATATCTTGGGGGTAGAAAAAGTAACTCCATACCTTTCCCAAATGTATTGGCATGTAAATGAATATAACAAACCTGAGGGGAATTAGAACTCAGCTCTCTGATTAACAATTCAGAGACATTATCCATTACACCACCCACATATCTAAGCTTACAGCACCTAGTATTCCTCAGTGGCCACCCATCTAGTTACTGACCAGGCTCGACATTGCTTAACTTCAATGATCATACAGGAACCAGTGTTTCAATGTGACATGGCTCTAAACCTGACATTAAATGAGAAATTAGCAAGACGAGTTTGAATTCTGATCTAGTTCATTACATTCACTTTCATACAATTACACTTGGTATGACATCATTCTCCCTGAGAGATGAGTTAAGTAGCAGGGCAGACTAGGTACTCTAGCTTTGGCTGGCAACCAATTTAGAACAACAACTCTGAATTCAAAACTGTATGTAGCCCGAGTAAGGCATGTGAAGCCAGTGAAAGGATTATGGAATTCGTAATTTTTTCTTTTTTTAAATTAATTCATCCCAAGTAAAACAATAATGCAACCAATAAGCAAGGAACTACTGGGAGTGAAAGAGAATGAAAAGATTTTAGAAGGAACTGGAAACCCAATCCTAAACAGGAAACAAGGAATAAACCTCTACTCCTGTTCAAAAAGAATAAGGAGGAGTATTAACTGGACAAGAGATGAACCTACTGCAGTATGGAGTTGTTCACTCCCTGATTTCAATTGTGGCCAACAAGGTAGGTAGGTAGATATTCTTAGTGAGATAATTTTATATTCTTTCATTTTTTTTATTGCATTTATTTTAAGCTATAAAATTTTAAAACTGCTATTTGAAATATAGTTTTAACTTTTTTTTTTTTAAAGTATAACATATGAATGCAATTTTAATTTATTCTTACCATATCGAGGTTTCTTCACTATAACCAATCACAGCATGGCATCCCATAGCACGGCAATGGGAACGAATTTCTGTTCTGATTTCAATCCACCAAGCATCTCTTGTCTCTGGTTCTTCTATAAAAATAAAAGACAGTTGCTCTTATTAGATTTCAGTGATAAGAGAAAAAAAATTTTCTTTTTTTTTTCTTTTTACTTATTTAAATGAAAAACAAAATTGCTTGCCATAAAATGATAAAAAAATTGTTTTAAATAATACTGTGTATATATATATATATATATATATATATATATATATATATATATATATATATATATATATATATATATATACACACACACACACACATATATATATGATGACTATGCACTCATTTACCGACTGAGCACTATGGAAAAAGGGAATTTTTCATGTCTGCTGCTTCTGCTTAACACATAGCACTTTTTCAGAGTTGACAAGTTCACAGTTCATTTAAAGATTTACAAGTTATAGTTCATTTTAGTATTTTCCATTTTACCGTAAAGATTTTATTAACTTCTTTTAAGTTCCAAAAATATTTAGAAAGAGATGTCCTATTTCTGTACACATTATTGCAGAAAGATAATACATGTTGGTACCACTTAGTTTTAAAGGAATTCTTGGTACTCCTGATATAAAATTTTTTAACTATAGTAGAAATAGTGCTTAGGTAAACAAGAGAGTCTGTTTGACATCTGATTTGCAATGAAAATTCGTTAGAATTTCTATAATTACACTTGTTGGTATTATCTACATTTGTTGCTTTGGAATGGCAATTATTACTCAGGTTTTTGTATTGATTTAAAATTTTATTAATGTGTTTTTTAATAATTTTTTCAAGATTTATCGGTACAGCTATAGCTTAGTTTTAGTGTATTTCTATTAAAAATCTTACTAAGTGGATTATTTCTGGGGAAGTGTTTCTCAATTAAATGGAGAAACTTCTGCCCTAACTTAGTACTAACCATTTGGTTAAATGTGAGTATGTACCAAATGAGTTTTCTATTTCTATTTTTATTCCTACTATTGCTGTTGCTATGTTCTATATATTTGATGTCAGAGCACTATGTTCCAGTTTATCATGACATGAAAATATAGCTCACACCTCCAACCTCACTTTTCCATTTAGTGTAGATCTGACATTTAATTGGTTAATTAAGACATATCCAACAAGTCTAGTTTTTAATTCTGACCTTATGTTTCCCTGCCTTTAACATTCAGAAAAGAGGTAACATTTGTTTTTAAATTTTCTTAAAAATCATTTTAAGCACCAGTTACTTAACAGTGCCTGAAGAAGTACAATCATAGTACTGAAACATGAAAGCTTTTGTGTAGTGATTTCAACATATTTTATTATAATAATAATAAGATATATATATATATATATATATATATATATATATATATATCATGGCCTTGGCTAAAGACAGATTTTTAAATAAATGTATCAAACAATTTATGCTAAAATTTTTTATCATAATACAGGATGTGGCAGAAATACTTCCCACATAATGGTAAGACATTAGCTAGATGAAGACACCATTGCCACTGCCTTATGGGAGTAGCAATGGTGTCTTCTATATAGAAGGTATTTATGTTACATCCTATACTTTTCTAATTACTTTTAGTGATTTAACACAAATCTAAGGGGGAAAAAAAATCACAATATCCAACAATTATTACATGAAATATAAAGTCTGCCTACAAAACTCTGGAGTCAGAATGCCGAAGTTAGAAACTTTTACCTATATTAATTTTTTTCATATATATAATTAAAATAAAAGTTGGTTCATGTGTACTTTCTATAATATGTAGATTTAATAAGCTGCTTAATAAAATTTGAAGAATACAACAAAATGATAATATTGTCAAAAAGATTGATATTTACTTTTGACTAAATTGAAGCATGAAGAGAAAGATTTTAAAATTGGAATTTTCAGACATGCCTATGTTCTTTTTCAACAAGATGAGGAATAAATAAAGTGGGATTCACTCTTCCAAGGAATGTTGTTGTTGGTTAGAGGGGTCCCTGTGGAAATTATATTCTGAGTAAACACAATGTGTGATTTTATTTTGAAAATATATTTCAACTCCAACCTGTTTTTCTTGTCGGCTGTTGAATGAAGATGCTAAAAGCACTTATTTGATATAAACTATACTATGGAATTGTTGGTTGAAGTGTGTAGTGACAGGGAATTTGTTGTTGTTGTCTTTGATGGTATTTTTATGGTTATTGAACCGAAGAAGGAATTCATTCTTCATTTAACAAAAGTTTAGTCAAAAGGCTAACATATAATTAAAATCATCAGTCTTATTGCCAATATTGTTATCATTTTGTTGGTTTTTTATTCCTCAAATTTTATTAACCAGTCTATTTAATGTCTCTCTCTCATCATATATATATATATATATATATATATATATATATATATATATATATATATATATATATATAGATATATATATATATAGATAGATATATATATAGATAGATAGATAGATATGTGTGTATGTAAAAACTGAAATGGTTATATTTGTGGCAAGACATGCAGGTCCAGAAGCAGTCTCATGTGACATTTTAAATTGCATTATAATGTACCATCTGCTGTTGGACCTCTTAAGTGCCCTGTTTGTGCCAGAGTATGTAGGTCTCTTGTTGAGCTAAAGAGCCACAATTGTTCAGCACATCAGTAGATTTTCTCCAAAAAAGACATGTAGGAATGGCTATACTCAGACACGAGTGGCAACCACCATGTATGTAAAGGGATGGAGTTTTTATTTATTAATCTGACAGATTTTTATTACACAAAAAAGTTATTTTTAGTGGATACTTCTATTTGAGTAGAGGCTCCATTTATTTATTAAACAGTATATTTATTTATTGTGTTTAAACACACATTCTTTACAAATTGCTTTGTTTATGTTACTGAGCAGGTAGGTCTATTTTAAGATTCAGAGAAAAATCTGTGTTTAAAGGCACTATTTATCTTTGCTTGGACATTGACACACACTGTAGCCAAGAGGTCAAAGCACATAAGATCTAATCCTCTAGAGGAACACAGAAAAATATGTGCTCTCCAGCAGGATTTGAACCTATAATAAGATTTCTCAAATATTGAGACTGGTACACAAAAATAAACATATTGTTTAATAAATAAACAGAGCATCTACTCAAATACAAGTATCCACTAAAAATAATGTCTAAGTAATAAAACTATATATGGAAAAACAATGTATATTTTTTATTACTTTTGTTATTAAGTATGCCAAAAATGTAAACAAAAAACTAAATGAAAATTGGCTAGACTATATACATATTTTTAAAAAATAAAATTTAAAAACATAAATTTTAAAATTTCAACAGCCCTTCTCCTTCACACGCATATATAATTACATCAACATAAACACTTTGATCTGATGAGATTCTAAAGTAGGTACCTCCACTAAGTTGCTGAAAATACAGCATAGCATGATGCAAAAAGGCCCCAAACTTAATAAAAACAAAGTTTTATCATCAAAATGTTTGTGTTATTATTAAGAGGAAAGACCAAAGTAGTTTTTTTATAAAATTTGTTAATCCTTTCCACCACATTCTAAATTTTGGTTAAAAATAATTTTTTTTTATTTTTGCATCAGCAGTGGACCAAAGATTACTATGAATATTTTAGCGCCTTTTTTTCTGGTAAAATAACACACTGATTCTGAAATTCTTGAAAAAAAATAAATAAATAAATAAAAAAATAAAAATATCAAAAAATTATTGGATTTTAAGGACTTTTAGGGCTTATTCACAAATGAATGAAATTATTTTTTAAATTATTTTTAGAAAATCTTGGTAAAAATATTTTTTTTTTACATCTATTACCAGCCACTTACTTAATTTGATGAAATTTTGAGAAATTAAATTCTGATCAAAAATTTTTTTTAATTAGTTAAAAGCAGGATTCCTAACTCATCCATTTTTTTTTCAAACAGTTGCTGATTCCCCACAAATCTGCTCCAAATAGTAAAATAAAAAATGCAATAAAACTATGACATTATTTCATTAGATGCTTACTGGAAATAGTAAATTTAATCATTTAGCTTTCAATTAAAATTAAATGAAAGTTTTTTTCATTTTTAAAAATTAATTTTGAACTTTAGATATTGTGAATTAGTGGAGGTACCTATCCTAAAACATAAAACACGTCACATGATGTCTTTTTTCCACTTTGTAATAGATTTTCCTAAAATATACACTACAATCAAAAAGTTTGTGGTAACTGCATTTCTTTAAAAAACACATTAAAATAAGATATTTTTGTATTTTTATTGAGTAATTTCAGTAACTACTAATTCTAACACAAATAAGCACATAAGTATAAAAAATTATAATACATCATATTTTGTTACCTGCTTTTATTACTGCTTTAAAAATACTTGGCATTCTTTCCAACAGTTTTTGAAAAAACATATATGGCAGAAATTCCTAAGCATTCTTCAAACACTGAAAAAAACTCACTCTCACTCTTTGAACTCTCCTATCCAATTCACCCCATACTAATTCAATGAGAGAGAAGTCAGGAGACTGAGGTGGCCAAGTTATAATTTCCAAAGTTTTGTTCCTTTTGTTTTTTTTAAAACTCAAGGTAATTTTGATATAATTTAGAAAAGTGTTTTGGATCATTGTCTTGCTGAAAGCTGATTTTTTTTCCAATTATGTGTAAACCAGATGGTATAGCATGTCTTTGCAAAATCAAATGATATTGTTCTTTTTTCAGGATTCCCTTGACCTGAATCAAATCTCCAGACCTCTTTCCCTCAAAATACTCCACAACATAACAAACCCACCAACATACTTAACTTTTGGAATCAAACATTCATTATTCAGTCTTTCTCTTGGCTTTCTTCTTACTAGCAAAATGTTCAAATTTGAACTCACCTGTCTACAGTACATTCTGCCATTCATTCAATGTCCAGTTCTTATGTTTTCCCCTCACCACTAAGTTTTTTTCTACTTATTCACCTTCCATAACAGAGGTTTCTTGATGGCTAATCCATCCACTGAGCCCTGCTGATCTAAGTTGATTTTTCACAGTTGAGAGCAACAAGTCTGGAGCAGTTTTCTTATTATTTCTTTTGCTCTCAATAATGAAGTGATTTCTTTAACCCCAGTCGTGACTTTTGGTACTCCAGCTCTTTTTCCTTCAACATTTGTGCCAATTTCTAACTGCCTTTGTAACGAATATTGCACCTCATGTCCAGAAATCTTCAACTATTTAAAAATTTGTCTGTGAGTAGACTTCTTTGAATAAATTTAAATTTGTGCCATCACCTCAATGCTTAGCTGCTTTGATTTTGCCATTTTGTGTAAATTCCTTCAAAATTAAAAAAATAAATGAAAAAAAACTATGAAAATACATTTTTTCTTCAGAGACAGCTATGTTTATATATATATATATATATATATATATATATTCTTTTTATGTTTGGTTTACAACATTTAGAACGTGTATTTAACATAGTTGAAAATTTTGATTGAGGAGTTAATGGTGAAAACAAAATATAATGTTTCTCATACAAAATATTCATAATTTAACAAAATGTATTGTGGACAGACAATTTGAACTTTTTGGTAGTAAGAAGAGATGGGTGAAAGACTGAAAAATAAAAGCAAATACATTGTAGTTGCTGAAATTTTATCTTTTACTTTAAAAAAACAGCAAAATATCTCATTTTAAGATTTAAAAAAAAAATGCAGAATGGCTCCAAACTTTTTGCCTGAAGTGTGTATGTATGTATATATATATATATATATATATAAATGAATGAACAAATAATAAATAAAACTAACCAGGATTGTGTATCTTGTCTAGGAGTTTCACAGATTTTGCTGATACAATGCCACCTATATGAACAATGAAACCTGGAGGAAATGTCTTCATGGTGAAAAATGGATACTCCTGGAGAAAAAGAAAACTATGTTTCATGTAAATCAGATAGACAAAAAGAAATTGCATAAGAAAACTTAAATACAAAAGGATTATATACAAAAGCCAAAGCAGAATAATCTCCTACCATGTGATAAATGTAAAAAAAAATCAAATATATAATCTGGACTTCTTTTTTTCATATACTCCAGATTATGAATTTAAAAGTAAATTTTATTTTTTCTTAATTTTATAAATCACATCATCTGAACATATTTATTTTAGCTTGTGTTGGGGGTTCAATTTACAATGAATTTACAGAGCAAACTGGACACCAATATTAACTTTTATAGAATTTAATAAAAAAAATAAAAATAATTGATATTCATGATCTGAAGTGATTAACCTAAAAAAAACCTGAAAAATAAAAATGATTATTTCTGTATTTACGCTAATTTTATATTCAGATTATTGTACTCATTTTTGTTGTTGTAATCACAATGTTTTGATCATTGTGCCCACCAGTCTTCCTTAGGTGTACTACATTGATAGCAGCAGCAATCAAAACATGATGAGCAGCAGCTACAGCACTAATCAGCAGGTAGGTTAGGTTTAAGGCTCCAACTTCACTACTGCGAATTGTCCTATAGAATAATGGCCTAATGGATTAAAGCATTGTCCAATTTTATTTATATATATATATATATATATATATATATATATATATATAATGTGTGTGTGTGTGTGTATATACACACACACACACACAAAAAAAAGGGAGGTGTCATAATCGTTTGTGATGTAGCAAATGAAATCATAAATTTGGTGACATTTGTGAGTTCAATCCCTGGGTCAGGCAGTGTGTACAAAATGGGTGAACTAAAAATAAAAACTAGACAATATCCAAAGACATGGACAGTGGAATGAGAATGCTCTACCCTCATAGATTAAATATAGGGTTCAATTCAGAATTCCCTTTAGATCAATATATATACCTGAGGAAGGCTGGGGGGCACAATGGCTTTGTGATAGCAAAGATGAGGACAGTAGTCTGAATACAAATAATGATAACTCCTCATCCCAGAAATTAAGACAGTGATTATTTCTGGTTGCAGTGACTATTGTACAACTCCACTGACTGAATATGATAGATGAAATAGCTTACCAATTTTTGTCCCAAGTTAAAAAATGGTAAGAAAATATTTTGATTTTGTGATGTTTTAAACAGCCTTAAGAGAAATTTAATTCATGACATTTTAAAAATATTCAGAATTAAATTTTGAAAATAAAATTATTTGAGGTATTCAATATTTGATTACAAACAAAAAAGGTGTCATTTTCAAACTTCACATTTTTAAATTGTCTGACAGGCAAGGTTCATAATGTCAATGCTTCTTATTTTAGAACATAAAATTCAGATAATAAATTGATTAGAAATAATGAGAATTAAATAAAATAAGTCTCGAAGAACATAATATGAGCATTTTTCAAAATGCTTTTCAAATTGCATATACCAAGCAATTTAACTTTACAAATTTCTTTATACCAATAATATTAATACTAACATGCTGCTCAGTCCTCGCTGTCCAGCCTTGACAAAGTTCAAAAGGTGTTACATGACCTTGTGGGTGATGAATTATTTTCCACCCTGCAACCACTTTCCCACAGACAAAACATTTCTAGCTTCACTACTCTATGACTATTTCCATGGCAAATGTTCAGACAAGCTACATTCTTTAGTTCCACCAGTTCAGACCTTCACAGCCAGGATCTGCCATACCATTGACACAGCATCCTCATTCACTTTGTATTCTTTTGGTAAAGAGGAAGTTCCACTCAGAGAATTACTTTGTTGAAGAGACTCCCAAGAGTATGCTTCCCTGACCACTATAAACTTAACCTATATATATATATATATATATATATATATATATATATAGGTTAAGATTAATTTTAATGAACAACTTCCAAATTACAGATAATCTTTTTCAGACAAGAAAAATTAATTCTGTCAAAAATTGTCCTAAGCTTATTTCTGAAGTACAAGAAATATGGTTCAAACTTTTGACCTTCTTAAGTCATTATCATGGTAGGTAGATGTCTAAAGTTAAAAGCTTGGACCATATGTCTTGTATTTTTCTCCCAAAATGAATTTTAGACAATTTCTGATGAATTTCCTCCTTGTCTGAAAAGGATTATCAGTAAGTTTGAAAAGTCGATCATTAAAATTAATTGACACAAAATGGCTGTTGTTTTTAATAATATTTGCCTCAAAAAGAACATTGCTGCCTAAATATACTATATATATATATATATATATATATATATATATATATATATATATATATATATAGAGAGAGATTGAAACCATGGAAATATTTTTTAAAGTATTTTTTTTTTTTTTTTTTTTTTTTTTTACTGACAATATTTTTTCAAAAAGGGTTCAAGATTATAGAGGGATTTCTCAATATTATTTCTAATTTCCAGACAAACTGTTTTAAGAAAAAGATTTTATAAATTTCAGCTGGCAGTAAATTTTTTTAGTCAATGAATGTCAAATGTTTCTTTGATGGATCTGCTAAATTCACCAATTATCATTTTTCTAAGTAGTTTCAGCCAGTTTGAGTCATGGAAGAGTAAGGTTGCTTTCAATCAGAGGAGGTGTCTACTTTATATTAGGATCCTCCATTAGGTCATGTAAAAAAAGCAGCATATCACAATGAAAAAAGGTTAATAAATCAACGAAAACAAAGTTTTGTCTCAACATGTTTATGTTGTTATGAAGAGGAAAGACCAAATTTTTTACTGCTTTCTAGCACGTAGAAAATTTTGGTTAAAAATTTTGTTTTTTTTTTACGACAGCGCGGTAAGATAAAAAAAAGGTTTGTTTTATTTTGTGCTTTTCCCTGAGGAAAACACACGTTAATTAGGAAATTCTTGCAAAAAATCAAATAAATGTCAGATTTTAATGAAACTTTCAGGACTTATTCAGAAATGAATGAAATTGTTTTTTTAGAAAATCTTGTTAAAAAGAGATTTTTTTTTTTTAACATGTTTCCACCCACTTACATATTTTCATGAAATTTCGAGAAATTAAATCTTTATGCACGGGATTTGTTTTATTAGTTATAAACAGGATTCTTTGTAGAAAGTAAATCACCAGTTTTTTTTTGTAAAACAGTTGTGGTGGTACTGAGCAAGTGAAGGACCGGATGTTAACCCTCAGAGGTCTAGATAGCAAATGACCAATACTGGGCTTTGCGCACCAGGCTCGACGCATAAGTTCCGGTGGAAAATCAAAAAGAAATAAAAAGAATATAATAAGCAATTTCCACCAATTAAACGGGCCCAGCCATATCCAACAGTTTGTTTCAGCATACTGACTCAGATCCGATGGACACAACATAAATAGAACGATGAATTCACTTCTGGTCAGAAAGCCTTGGAAGTTACCGTCATAGAATGTCCCTAAAGCTTTTCTCACCCATCAACCCGACGCCTCCAGTTTTTCCTTCACCAACGGAGATATCAAATGACACCTACCAACCCATTGACCTCACCTTTCATCTCCTGGGACCTGCACGCCTAAACTTAAGTATTCACAAAATGACACTTTAATTCCTTTCATAATCTGATTTTTTTCTTTGAATGAACATTTTTAATAACAGACTTTTAATGTGTTAATTAAGAAACATTATACTTATCATTGATGTGTATTTAAATATAAAGTGTTTCTGATATACCCTTCTCTTTCATATTTTGTTTGTTTATGTTATGGTGACCTCAATTTGATTGCTTGTTGAACCTTTAGGCCAAACTAGCAGCTGTCCATAAGTGACTGCTACTGCTTACCTACCTTCTTATACAAGCAACAATTACCAACGAATATACACTTCCCACAACACCACACAGTACCTGGTTTCATAGAAAATCTGCTTTGAATTATAAAAAAAAAAATGTAAAAAAGTATGAGATTAATTAATTAGAAAAGCTTTCACCTGTTTTTGTAAATACGTTATATTAAGGACATTATTTTGTGAAGAAATAAAATTTTTTCGATGAATAATGTATTTTTTACAAATTTTTTCCCCATTTTTAAAATTTTTTTCATTAACTTCTTAATACTTCAAAAATCATTTAAAATTCTTTATTGCTTTCAAGCACATAATGCAATGATAACGTTAATGAAAAAGTAAATTTATGAATCAAAATTTGAAAAGCACATAACAGTCATTTGACCCTGAATATTTTTAAAATAATTTTAAAAAATTTTTTATTGAAAAAAGACATTCATAATCATAATTTCTACGTATGGAAATGTATACATGACATAATCCTTAAAAAATTTTAAACAATTATCTAATAAAAAACTTTAAACTATTATCTAATTAAGAAAGTATGAAATAAAAATAAATATTACATAATTGCTGAATAAAAATGTTAATATTTAAAAAGTATTAGTTAAAAACAAAAAACCGCATTTGCTTATTTTGCAAAAATTGTCAATTTTGATCATCCATAGTAATCTGTCATCACCTCATCACAATCGATTTCTTTGATAAATTCAGACACATCGTTAAGAAATGTTTGGATACAAATTTTTATGCTATAAGTACTGTTTGTTTCATATCAGATTAATTTAACTTTAAATTTTCTAATTTTACTCAAATAACATGTCAAAAATATATAAATTTATTTTAGGAAGAAGTTTAAAATCAAAATTTTGTTTTTGTTTACAAATTTGTTAAAATTTAAGAAAATGGCCGCTTTTAAGAAAATTAAACAAAAATCGAGCATATATTTTAAATTCCAATCTATATAATTTCTATCTGAAATACACCAGAATATTTTACTTACTGGAAATAATAAATTTAATCCTTTAGCTTTCAATTAATAACAACATATTCAGACAAAACTTTGTTTTTGTTGATTTATGAGCCTTTTTTTATCATGATATGCTGCTTTTTTATGTGACCTAATGGAGGACCCTACATTATATGCATTTATTTACATCACCCATTTTTTTTTTTAGTCCACTACAATACCCAGGCTTTCCTCAAATCTATCAGACATGAGAAGCTCTGATCAATGATGTGTTGGCAAAAAGTTTCAATTCAGTTTTCTTCCTCTGAGACTTGTTGCCCTCCCAAAACTTAAAAGGACCCAATTTGCCCCAGTATTTAACCCATACCTAGGGGTGGGTGGATGAAGAAATAGATTCATGCTTTTCCCAAAGCTATTTGTGTAAAGTGAAATTTAAAACTCAACATGCCAACTCCATTGTCAGTTCAGATAACCACTACCCCCATTTGAACATCCAGATGCCACCCACACAAATGGTATTAGCTAATTATAAAACCCTCTACCTCGAAAGGCTCTCGAACTGGGTGAAATTTAGTAAATGAAGAAATAAGTAAATAAACATTTAAAACAATACAATCTTCAACAAAATATTGTGATTGATGGTAGTAGGGGAAAGTTTGTTACAAAAAAAGAGAAAACTGACCTGTTTAGAATCCAGTGCCTAGAGAATCGAAGCAGAAAACAAAGATGTTTGGCAACAAAATTGAAATTGAAATTTTTTTTTTTAAAGAAATTATTGTTTAAAGCTTTGATTTTGAGTTAAATTTCAAGAGATTCACCAGCATTCCAACTACAAACTTACCAACATATCAATTGTTGGTTGAGGCTGTGCTAAGGCTGACTTGTGACCCGATATACGTCCAGACAATCCACTGAGGGCACCAGTACCACTACCACTGCCACTGCTGCCAGTTAAGCTCCCACCTGAAAGATAGACAATCAATAATATTAATGACATAATAAATAAATCAAGTAAAAAGGCAAATGCAGTTAAAATCAATGCCTTGCATACATATCATTTAAATGCAATCAAATCAGTATTTTGAAACAACTGGAAATATATAAAATCCTATTGCTGTTGATTAGAATAATTTATCAGCTTGAGTCATAAGTAATTTCTGTTTTTGGGAACCAATTGTAATTATAAATGTATCATCCTAACTGTTCTTTAAATATATCATAACAGGCGATGAAAAGTGGGTTACATACAACAATGTTCAATACAAAAGACAGCCAACTCCAAAAGCTGAACTCCTTGGAAGAAAGGTAATTTTGGATGTGTGATGGAATCAACAGGGTATTTATTCATTTAGAATGCTTAAAATACAATGAAGCACTAAACGCACATTTATATGTCCAGCAACTGCAACATGTCCATAAAAATTTAATTGAAAAGTGTGGCACTATTTAGTGCTGGTAAATGAAAAGAAGGGTTAATGAATAGAATGATGGATATACTGAGAGAAAGAGTGGAGATTTCTCTTTTCAAAAAAAGCAATTCTTGACCCCCATAAAAAAAAAAACAGAAGAATTACTTAAAGCAATATTATCAAAAGGGGCTTTGTATAAATCTTTTGACAATTGATTAATAGCCCATCCCTAAAAGTACTGGTCACAAAAACAAGTAAATGAAATGGATGAGATTTGATCTATACTCAAAACTCAAGGATAAAATTTCCTTGTGGAATAACTCTGATGGGGCTGAGAGGAAAGCCATCTGGTCAGTGTCTAATTCTGAACAAAGAAGCCAGAGTAAGAAATTTTGCATGGGCAAAATTTGAAAAGATAATTATTTTTGATTAATGACCTTAAAATTAAGCCACGCCAAGCAGTCGAATGCCATGGGCTGAGGAGTAGCCAAGGTGGCAGGCACAGATGAAATACCGAAGGAGGTGGAGGAATTGCTCACACTCATTGGAAAGTATTGGTGTGAGATGCCAATAAGAGAAGGAAGAAGTCACCAGGGTGGATTGATACCTGTGACTGCAACCCATAGGAAAGAGAATTATGTAATTAATTTTCAGAACCCAGACAGTAGAAAGGGGTTCTTGTTTGTAGATAGGGGAATCTCCAAAACCCTTGTGTACTGCTTCATGCTGGTTTTAAGTGAATGTCAATAAATACAAGAAATTGAAAGTGGCAAGCCAGAGAGTTGTTCCAGACACCAGACAAGAAACGACCTCACATGACTGCCTGTCTGAAGAGAACCTCCAACATCAGCCTTGTGCCAAACTTAACCAAGCCACCCAAAGTGTCACATCTAACTTAGGAAGTGGGTTGTCCGCATGAGAAACTGCTAAATTCTAAGGACAAAACTAACCAAGTATTGTACAAAGGAATATATATATAAAAACATTTATTTTTTATTAAAGTTATTTTTTTCTTGCATCTACATTCTAATTGAACCAGACCTATATGATGATTCCCGACGACCATTTGATCTTTGCCAGTCTAATGATCAAAACTAATCACAACGTGGAATAAGGCAAGGTCTGGATTGAAGCAATTATTTCATTAATCAGCCACGGGTGTTGGACATTTGAACACCCAGGGAAGGACTTGAAGGCAACAATTGTTGCTGTGGACCAGGACAGAACAGGGAAGAGTTGAGTGAGTGGGAAGAGGCAGATGAAATTCCTCTCTCTCAACTCCAAAAGCAGTTGAAAGAAATAAAACAATGATCAGATGAAAAAGAGACAGAATCAAGCAGTAGTGAAAGGAGAAAGAAACAATGAATAGTCCTGTGAAGAGGTCCCTTACAGTGGGAGGAAGAGAGAAGTTGACTAAATTAAAGAGTGAAATTACTGTCTGCTGCTCATAAAGAAAGAAAGAAAGAGACATGTTAGATATGGAGAGATTTTATTAAGAAGAATGATCAAAATGTTTCATTTTGGGGAAAGTTAAATTGAAATCAGATTTTAGAAGCCACCTGTTGAAATAAAAACAGTTTTTTTAGACATTTTAAAAGGAAAAGAAAAAGGCTGTAGTGATTTTTTTTTCTTTCGTTGCTTGAATGAAGGGGTTGATCAGAGAATTACTTTGTGTTATGAGGCTTAGACATAGACTGACGGTTGATTATTGGATAAATTGAAACTTAATGTCACTGGTGAGATTGATTTTGAATGTGGACCACCCTGTTGCTGGGTCTGGGGATGATGTTGTGTTAGCTTGTAATGTCACCATGAGGTAAAGTGTTTTTGAAACACAAAAAAAGAAGTATTGGGTTGATATTGTGGAATTAAATATGAGGAATATTACTAATGAAGTGAATTGTTTGGCTTTGATGAATGAGCCTTGAAATTTAAAGTGACAGAGTGTCATGGAAACGATTACAGTGCACATTGAGAAGATTATCCAGAATCATATTGATAGTTAACGATGCTGATTGAAACTTAAAAGTAAGGAGGATGGGTAGATTCAGTGTGTGATGGCATTGGATTCCCTAAAATAAGCCATCCAGTAGAATAATAGTGGGGATTAGTTGGAAAGGATAGAGTTGTGAATAGCATATCACGGAGGGCAAAGAAAATTACTTTTGGTGTTGTCGTTGGTCTACACATGGGCCTGTGTATGTCCAGCAGTGGTATTGATGAGACATAACCTTTGGAGTGAAAGTACCACACACCTGTCTAAATCCAATCAGCTTACTAAAGGTTGGTTAAAAGAAGAAAAGTTAAAGTTAGGAAACCAAGTGAAGGAAGTAGTGCGAGTGCTCCAGAATAATTGAGTATAAAAATAAACAAACAAACAATGAGTGGTTGGAGGAGTAAAAAACAAGGAAATCTTGTTACCACAGCAGGAATGGCTGGTATGAAGGAACTCATACTACTGATGACAATGATGATGATGATGACAGGAGCTTGGAAATACAGCCAAAATACAATTTTTAAGAAAACAAGAGAAGTGATAGAGTTGAACCCATATGAGTTAATATTAAACAAATTGGAGAGTGAGATAAAAAGGCTGGGTGTAGCCAAGGTGAAGGTGGCACAAAAATACCCTAGGGAAGGAAAGTATCTTAAACTATTATATTCCCTGGAATTGAAGACAGCTATAATGGAAGCCCAGTGGAATGATATGAGGAATTATCTGAAATGAATTGAACTGCTACAATTGAGAAAGAAGAGAGAAGTAGTCCCTATTGTTGGAAAAGCGCTGAGTGTTAGCACTATTTGTCAATACCTCTACTTGGCAATTTTTTTTAATCCCTTCTCTATTATCTTTAAATAGTTCAAGTATGCACAATCTTTGATTACCTGTCACACATATAGGACAGTATCAATTGTGAGAATTGAGACAGGAGGTAGCTAATTGTTTGGAGGCTGTGACAGCTGAATTATAAGAATTGAGTGGGTTTATACAACAGTATTTCCAGTTAATGACTAATAATAAGGTGTGATAGACTAGTCAGTCTCTGATGATTTTGTCAGAGCATGGATAGAGCAATTGGATATGTTATCATTAGGACACCTGTCCCCAAGCATAGTTACCCCTGGGCACTTTAATAACAATTCCTTTAAGATACAAGCTGAGTTACCCCATCATTTGAGGTTGCCGGTGGACCCCACCAAGGAATTATGGAAATACTACAATGCACTAGGTTGTGTTAACTTGTTAGAGGATAAAAAGTTGTTGGTCTTGATGTCCATTCCACTGTTGGACAGAGAAAGTAATTTCGAAATATATCAAATCATGAATTTACCCACTCCTTACCCCTGAATAGATCAGAGCTTAGGGGCAATTGCAAAATATCAAATTGAGACAGAGTACATAGCTTTGAATACAGCTAGGACAAAATTTATGATGCTGACAACAGAAGCAGCAAGGAAGTGTAGGGTTAATGCTTTGGGAATGTGTACCTCACTAAGTCCTATATATGTGACAGGTAATCACAGATTGTGCATACTTGAACTATTTAAAGACAATAGAGAAGGGATTAAAAAAAATTGTCAAGTAGAGGTATTGACAAACACAGTGATGCCACGAACTATCAGCATATCTGATGGAGTTTGGGCAGTGGCCGCACAGAAACCAATTGATCTGTCCAGGGTATGTGGGAGAGAATCTACTGGGATGCTGAGAGTGGAACCGCCATTGTCCTTAATAAAACTTCCCCTGGGGTGTTCAAGCATTTGGAATATCCATTTCCCTACCCACATATTCCCAGGCTGAAGAAAAATATGAAGAAGAAGATTCAATATGTGGGGATAATTGACAAAAGCTAAGGTAATTGCACAGAATTATGGGAACCAGTGGTGGATGAATTCCCTGAAGTTACCCTAGAAAAGATGCCAAAGTTATTAAAGCCAATAGAAAGGATTAATATGAATCAATTGAAAGACAAATTAAATGTTTTAGGAAAAGAGAGTATGGTTTGAAAAGGAATGTAATAAACTGGTTGGCAACGATAGGTACCTTGATAATTATTGATAATTATTGATAATTATTGATAATTATTGATAATTATTGATAATTATTGCTGCAATAGTAGCAGCAATATGGAAATTTAAAAAGTATAGGAAGAAATCAATTAATGATGTTTTGGCAAGTATGCAACAGCTCAAAAAGGGAATGGCATGCAGTATTCTTTACCCAAACAGATTGAACCAAGACAAAGAAGAAACTGGATTGAATTTGACAAGAGAAGTGGAAGAAGAGCTGACACTTGTTAAGGAAAAACCAAAACCTTGTATTATGGAGAGAAGAATGGTAAGTAAGAAGAACAAGCCATAAAACAAACACCCATACACAAAAAAAAAAAAAAAAAAAAAAAAAAAAAAAATGGAACATTAAAGAAATTGCATTAAAACAATGCATGAAAAGAAGAGGAAAGACTGGTTACAAACATTACAAAAGAAAAAAAGGAAAAACTTTTTTATGAAAACATTGCATGAAAAAGAAAAGGAAATATGTCTCATGGAAAC